CCCCCCCCCCCCCCCCCTACGTCTGCGGCTACACATGTGCATCCATTCGGCCACCCGGCATGAGTCAGCTCAGCTACCCACCCTGCTCGTCCTCTCCACCAACACCTGACACAAGGGAGACCAAAGCAGTGAGTACAGACAGAGAGGCCCACTCATCAATGGCATGCACTTGGCCGTGTGAAAGCACCTCCATCGAACTGCTCGCTATTGTGCATGGCCCTCCCCGCCTCCCACAATGTCGTCACCCGCCGCACCTGCAGCACAAACATCCACCCACCACACACCAACATGCACACACTGGCGTCGCGTGATGGATGCACCTCCCCTCCGAGTCGCGCTGTCTGTCTTACCCCCTTCCTCATCGCTGCCGTTGGGCTCCCCGTCACCGACATCGTCACCCATATCTGCACACAACACAATACAGCACACAAGTGAGACCGACCTAACCATCCACCAAGCCCCCCTTCTGCCGAGAGACCCACCCACCTTCATCGCTACCGTCGCCACCGTCGTCCTGCCCATCGCCGTTGTCGTCCTCATCGGGGTCCTCACCGTCGAACACTATGGGTGCGATGGGGCCCAGCACTGGTCGCGCCATGGCGGTGGTGCGGGGGAAGCGCTGCTTGAAGGGCGCATCAGCAGACACACCAGCTGCTGGCGGCTCGGTCGTCATCACCCTCACACACACTGCAGACACACAACACAGCGGAATGAATGGGCTGTCTGTCTGAGTGACCCTCTGTCGTCTGTGGCTTGCCCTGTCCACCCCCCAAGTCGTCGACGCCGATGAGTGCGATGAATGAGTGGTCAAACGGCGTCAGCAGCAGCTCCTTGTGTGACAAGTCGTTAACAGTGGTAAATGCTATGGCGGCCGTGGTGCCCTCGACCGGCTGGTGGACCGACTGGTCGAGCAGACCCGCCAACACGCCGCCACGGGCATCACTGCAGGCAGACACACAGAGCCAACCAAATGAAGCATCAATGAGGATAGGGAACGTCGTGGGCCGTCCCAACTGGCCGACCGGTCTATGTCTTTGTCGGTGAGATGCATGCCGGCATAGGTGGGCACCAGGATGGTGCCCCTCAGGAACGAGGAAAATGACGCCTCGGTGATCACAGAGGCACCAGTGTACCAGCCGTCGTCGTAGCAGTCGACGATGTGGTTTCTGACGGGCGGGTCGTGGGGGCTGGTGTGTGGGTGGTAGGGGTGGGCGGGGGGCAGGGGGGTCAGATCGAGGCGGTGCTCGGGCTCGTCCTTGATGGCCCGCAGGTCGCCATTGCCGTGGTCGAACAGCTCAAATCCGCCCCGCTCGCCACCGAAGTTGACGTGGCGGCCGACCATCTTCCACTGGGCCACCACACGCGGCTCAGCCAAATACGCCTGACGTGGCACATCCGTCACATCACACATACACAGAGAGAGATGAGTGCCATCCGTCCCCTTCCCCATCAGCCCACCCACCTGTTTGCTACGGTGTTTCTCTAAATCTTGCTGTGTGACGATGACCGGCAGCTCACAGTAGGTGCGCTGGTGGGCCAGCCGCAGTGCGTCGGCCGCCTCGTCCCACTGCTGGCCCTCCACCAGCCACCACGCCTGCACACACACACACACACACACACACACAGAGATACACAGGGTATCCATCCATCAATTCATCCATCCCACGTGTGCAGGGCACCCACACCTGCAGCAGCAGCTTGCTCTCGAGATTGTCTACGTCAAACGTCACCACGGCATCCAGCGGCGTCCCATCGGCGAGTTGAGTGTCGTGCAGGGCGCGGCGAAGGCGGCGGCGGAGGACAGCCGGCTCGAAGTCGACGCGCGAGAGGAACCGGGCGCTGATTCTGAGGTTGCCGACCGCCTTGATCTTGTGCAGTTCATCCCTGCCCTCTCGATGAATGACGTCGAGGCTCTGGTTGCGGATGGCAGGCCAGTCCTGCTGGCTGCTCGTCCTCGGCACATTGTTGCCCATCAATCGATATCATTCCGATTTCGCCGAATCACGAACATCTGCCCTCCGCATGCTCAGGGGACCTCTCCTAACGAACAAAACAAAACAAAAGACTCCTCTCCCAATCCGATCTTGCGAGCTTATTGAAACTCCCCTCCCCCTTCCGGCACAGACCGCCGCCGGAGATCAGCAACAACTCCGCAAAGATCTGATGGTTTGTGCTCCCGGGCTGCATCACGTTTTTGTGGCTGCTGGTACGGCATCTGATCTGCACTATCTCACGCTATCTGTGCGCTCGGTAGCCACAACGGACAGCCCATGAGCGAGCCGAAGCGGCGGCAGCAACAAAACTGACGATGGCCAGTCAGCCTACTCATGCTCCTGCCGGCGGCTCGCCACCGGCGGCTGAGGACGGCTCTCGGGCTCTGGCAGCCGCGCAGGCGGCCTCAGCGACTCATGGCTCGTCGTCACATGCTGCCGGCGCGGCCGCAGTATCGGGAGAGGTGCACCAGGACAGCTGTCGATCTGTATCTTCTCATCTGCTGTCAGGGGACCTCGGACAGCAGCCGGATACCGGCTCCCAATCGCATGACATTGTTGATCCATCGGCAAGTCGACCGTGTCAGAGTGGTGGAACAGCGAGTGTCCAGGGCGACCGACGACCCTTGCAGACGACAGACGCCCAACCCAGCCCCTCCCCCTCCCCACTGGGACACAGCCTGACCCCCCCACCGCCACCAGCACACGCAGGCCCACCCACAGGGGCACCGCATGGCAACACCAGCACAGCAGAACAGCACATGTCGTCGGCCGATCACCATCACGAGCCACGCGATCCGAAGAGCAAAGCAGTCGGCGGGTCACGTGAGCGCGAGGGGCCTCCGGCGCCCTCCCACAGCAGGGAGCGGACGTCAAGCCGCCGGCCGATCCCCTTGGCGGATGTGTTGCTCAACAAGGGCATCCCCGGCCACCGCAAGTACTCGGCTGAGTATGAGGTGTGGACTTCAGTGTGGCCGGCGAGGGCGACGGCCAGCGGTATTTGGTGACGGCATGATGGGGAGAGGGGGGAGGGACCGACCGGCCGCCGGTGTGGGTGCGAGCGGTTGTGAAGCGTGACGATGTGGTGAGGGGCTGGGACACGAGCATGCTGAGCGACCTGCTGGTGGCCGTCCGCAACGGCACGGCAGACAGTGACGATCGGTTCGAGAGCGTGTCGGATGTCATTGATGGCGTCGAGCGGATCGTCACACAGTGGAAACCTGCAAGTAAGACCGGGGCAGGGAGGAAGACACTCGAGGGCATGATGCAGATCGTTGTGTGCGTGCTGTTGTGTGTGCAGGGGAAAGCAGCTTCCCTGGCCGCGCCAACGAAGCGCCGCCCGCCGATGCAGCCAACCACTCGCACACGCCCCCTGTCGCTGGTGGGGCGGCTGATGCATCTCACGACGGACCACACGACGACAAAAGTACGCACGTTGGATGCGACAAGAGCCGCACTCGAATAATCGACCGGCGCCCATCCACTGACTGTGGCTGTCTGTGTTGTTCTCATAGTTGTGTCAGCCGAGAAGGAGGCACGCAGGAAGCCTCGTGACGGTCACAAGCCACGATCCACTGCGAGGGTGGGGGAAGTGGCGCAGCCGGCGGGCCCCGCCATCGAGGAGGCCGTCGATCGCAGCCCTTCCCAGGAGCATCGCCTCACACATCCACTCGGCAGGAGCCCCTCAGCGGATGAGCAGCCCAACTCCAGCGAGGGCATGTATCAGTCGAATGTGCGGGGCGTCCGCTGGCGTCCCAAGGATGAGGTCTGGGAGGTGTGGTGGTACGAGAAGAGCGGTCGCAAGTGGAAGCACTTCTCGGCCAAAGAGCACGGCGTCCACAGAGCAAAGGTACTGACTGACAACAGGGACGCCAACTGCCATCCTCAAGCTCTCCTCGTGTGTATCGTGTGCACCAGGCGTTGGCCGAGCAGCATCGTCTCGAGATGGAGAGCACCGGCCAGGCGGTAGTCAAAAAGCGGTCGGAGCACCAGAGCGGCGTGCGGGGCGTCAGCTACGACAAAAAGTACGGCGGCTACTGGACTGCCGAATGGCGTGAGGGCCGCAGCAAGAAGAGCAAGTACTTCTCCGTCAAGCAGCTGGGCTACGAGGAGGCCAAACAGGCGGCCATCGCACACAGACGGGAGATGGAGCAGCGGCGCCATACTTCAGAGGCAGGGGCGACGAGAGATGAGAGCCTTTCCCGCAGTCCCCCCAAAGATGATGATGCGATTCACTCGGCGCCCCGCCACGGCCCCCCCAGCAGCAGGCCAGGTGTAAGTGGGATGGAGGGCGGCGACCTGGCTGCTGCCCTCGTTGAGGTCCTCAGCAGCGACGGGTAAGACAAGACAAGGGAAGACAGGAAGGGCCAGATTTGTCACGTGTGTGGTGTGTGTGTGGGGTCGGATCTTTCGGGCAGGTCATGCGGGTTGTGTTGGCAGAAGGGCAGCTTCCGTGTCCGTGTGCCGTCCTCTGTCGGGGAGGGTGCGACTGAGCGCATTGTCGATGTGCCGGTGGTCGACCTCGACTCCCGTTCGGCCGTCATGGACGCTTTTCGCCGAGCCGTCGAGGAGCTCAACCGTCTGAGCACGGCTAGTGAGGGAGAGGCCGCCGTCCCCCTGGACCTCAGCTGGCTCGATGACATCAGCTCCCACGGCTCCGCTGGCCCTCAGATGCGCCGCAGCAGGAGAGCGAGGCGCAAACCCATGCCGCTACGGCCTGTGTCTCAGAGTCCCAGTGACCGTCCACTGGGCACCGACGTCCCCATGCCACCCCACATTCGGCCCCGGCGCCGTCACCGAGGCAGGTCGTCGCATCGTGTCAGTGAGCGGCCAGTAGCCGACTCGTCGTGCTCTGAGAGCGAGATGCTCATCGACCGACCAGCGGCCAAGCGCCATCGCGACGAGTCGGGCGGTGGGAAGGAGCGGTGTTTGTCGGCGAAGCTGAGTGAGGCGGGCGGCCATGCGCTGGCGGCCAGCCTGGTGGAGCAGGCAAGGCGGCAGCTCGTGGACGTAAACCAGGAAGGTACCGCCAGGTGGGCGCAAGGCATGCACTCTGGTTGGTGGAATGGGCTACCCATTGACCTTTCGTTGATGTGTGTGCCATGCAGCTTTGGTCTCGAGTGGCGCGCCGAGGAGGCCAGCTTTGCGGCCTATCGACCAGACGGAGAGGCCATGCACGACGAGCGTGTCTTTCGGGTGTCTGACGTGACGTCTTCACGGCGCATCTTTCAGTCGTTTGCGCAAGCGGCCCACCACCTCAACATCATCCGCCATGCCCACCACGGCGACACTGCAGCGACCATCTACGTCCAGCGGGTCAGCCTACAGCCACAGGAGCTGCACAACCACGCAGTCGGCAGCCGGGCGAGTGCTCGTGCCAGTGGCGACGATGGTGATGAGTCGAGTCATAGTGAGATGGATGGATATGGCGACGTTACCTCACCCGACGGCCGATCGAGGCCAAGGGCCAGCAAGAGCAAGACCGCCGCCCGCAAGCCTGCCGAGCATCAGTCAGCCGTGAGGGGCGTCTCATGGTCTGAACAGCATCAGGCGTGGCAAGCGCAGTGGTCCGAGAAGAGCAGCGGCAAGAGGGAGCGCAAGCGGTTCTACGTCAAGGAGCATGGCTACGACAAAGCAAAGGTGCAACAAGCAAGAAGGAAGCACACCCAAGCCAGAACCTCTCTTGCTCTGCTTGTTTCTTTCAGGCGTTGGCCGAGCGGCATCGTCTCGAGATGGAGCGCACCGGCCAGGCGTCGTTGCAAAAGAGATCGAAGCATCAGAGCGGCGTGCGAGGCGTCCACTACGCCAAGGCGACCAACCTGTGGATCGCCTGTTGGCATGTGGGCGGCAGGAAGCAGCGCAAGTCCTTCTCAGTGGCTGAGTTGGGCTATGAGGGCGCCAAGAATGCCGCTATCAACCACAGATGTGCCATGTTGCAGCGGCACTACACATCTGAGGGAAGCGTCCACTCCGTCCACTCTGCCTGTCGCCCTCAGTCGTCGCGCCACACAGCACAGGGCTCCGATACCCACATGCGCGACAGCAGCGTCGGCATATCGGTCTCGAAGCGTCCAAGCAAGGGAGTTGCCAGGGGTCATTCTCCATACGACGGCCATCGCGATGAGTCATTCGACGACGAGAGCCTTCCCCTGTTCACCCGCCTCGTCGGCAATAGGGCAACCGACGGCCCGTCGGTGGAGCGCCACAGTGGTGATGTGGCAGACGTCACGAGCCCCAGTATCGACAGGAGGCACATGGAGAGCATCGGACGAGCGACCGTCAGGAAACGATCTGAGCACCAGAGCGGCGTCAAGGGCGTCTACTACCACAAAAGAAGCAATGCGTGGACCGACGACTGGCGGACCGGCGGCAAGAAGAACTTCAAGTCCTTCTCCGTCAAGCAGCTCGGCTACGAGGATGCGATGAGTGCGGCCATAGCATACCGACGGGCCAATGCAGGGGTAACGGCAGCCTCTCATGGCGACGTCCACCCTGCCGTCGGACATCGCAGCCGCACGCCACTACCCAGTCCGCCCAGCCGCGACGCCGCCATGGCCTCATCCTCAGACTCAGAGCGGCGGGGCTCTTCATCGTCGTTCTGTGGTGACGGACGTGAGAGCGAGTCCCATGACAGCCGCCGCCCGCGCCCACCGCCCCACCCCCTCCCCAAACGGAGCAGTCACTGCCACAAACAGCCGCTCGAGGGGAATGACCTGAGTGGCGTGGGCGGCGGTGAGGCGGCAAAGGCGCAGAGCGGCGAGATGGATGAGGCGAGGAGTGGCTCGGATGAGTCAGTGCGGTGCTGGAAGTGCGGCAAGGGCGACAACGAGAAGTTTCTCCTCCTGTGTGACAACCGGCGTTGCTCTGCCGCCTACCACACCTACTGCATCAACCTCACGGCTGTTCCGGAGGGCCAGTGGTTCTGCCCGGAATGCAGGCACAGCAAAAGGGCACAGAGGGCGGACCCTCTCATGCGTCGCGGGAGAGCTCAGGAGGGGGATGGCCCGGCATGTCGTCACGCCGGCAAGCGGAACGCCGTCGGCCGCAAGAGAGTCCGCGACGACCCCAACCTGGATGGGCTGACTGGGGCTTTCCTTGCCACGGCCCTGGTGGACCGACTGGTACGACGGTTCAACGACGCCTGTCCGCCCGCCGATGGAGGGTGAGCAACACACACGACAAGGGGGAGCGACATATCTTCGCATCCTATCTTTGGCGTCCCGTCAGGGTGGGCGTCTGTATGGCTTCACCGAGACGTTTCGGTGCCTACTTCTACAAACAGGGCAAGTACCTTGGCTTCCGCAAGTTCGTCATCGACGACCCCAACTCCCGTGACAGCATCCTCGAGGCTCTTCGCCTGTGTGTGGCGTACCGCAACACCATCCACCGTGACCAACTCGGCGATCATGCGAGCGTCATCGACCTCTCATGGCTCGACCGGCAGCAGCAGGGGGGGGGGGTGCGGTGGGGCCAGAGGCTTCGCTGCATGACGAGTCATCCGACCACAGCCCCTCTCGAAAGCAACGCCGCAGAGATACGGCTCTCGCCAGCAGCAGCAAACCATCCATCGAGAGGCAGCCGAGGCCACAGACCAACACGACAGCCAGGGATAAGGGCGAGGCCGTCACACGAAAGGCTGCCGAACACCAGTCGCACGTGTCGGGCGTCTCGTGGTCTGCGAGGGACCAGGCGTGGATAGCGCAGTGGTACGAGAAGAGCAGCGGCAAGGAGAAGCGCAAGACCTTCTATGTCAAGCACCACGGATTCGACAAAGCAAAGGTACCGACATCGCATCGCAGCACCCTGCCTCCATCTCACCCTCTATTCTTCTCACGTGTGCGTCAGGCGTTGGCCGAGGAGCATCGTCTCGAGATGGACCGCACCGGTCGGGCGGCAATGAAGCGGAGATCTGAGCACCAGAGCGGCGTCAAGCGCGTGAGGTTCGACAAGACACACAACACATGGGAAGCCCGCTGGAAGGCGAGCGGTCAGGAGAAGACCAAAAGCTTCTCCGTCAAGCAGCTGGGCTACGAAGAGGCCAAAGGCGCCGCCATCAGCCACCTACGGGCCATCTTGAAGAGGCAGTCCCACACGTCCGAGCGTGCGGCGGTGCTGGATGGCGACCCGGCTGATGCAAGAAGTGCCGACGATGGCGACGATCCTCTGCCTGGCAAACAGCGACAGGCGCCTCAGCTCCGTCAGGCTGGTGTGAGAGCCGGTGTGCCTCTGGACCCTACTGCTCGCCGTGACACCAAGCCACGGCGCCGCAGAGACGGAAGACTCGACCGCAATCCTATCCTCAAGAGCAAGACTCCCAGTCGGCTACAGCAAGACGCTCCGCCTGAACCGCCGACGAATCGCACGGCCGGTTGCGGCCCTCGTGTGACGCCGGTCCAGCAGGGGGACCTGATTCGTCACTTCTACCAGCAGCTGGAGGCACTCGGCCGAGCCCATCCCGACATGCCCCTCTGTCTGCGGTTCAGGAGTGGGTCTGCGCTGACACAGCTGGCCGTCGAGGTGGTCCTGCCCGGCACCCCAGTGCAGTCGGTGCCCCTCTCAGCGGCCACCAGGGAGGCCATGGGGGCGGCCATCGATGCCGCTTGGGCATGCCGCCAGCGGGAGATGGACACCGACGGCACTGAGGACCAGCAGCCCATGACACACGCCCAGCGGATGGTCCTCTGTCGCGTGTACGGCCAAGTGGGTCACAACATTGGGGCGATGCTGGCGGCCGTCCCAGCTCTGAGCTTTGCGTCCGTCGACTCGTTTGTGCGTCATAAGCTGCCGGCCATGGTGGGGCAGCGTGACGGCGAGGGCGTCAAGGAGGCCGCCAACCGATTCATCAAACAGCTCGGCCAGCACCCCCGTCAGGCGCACGCCACACCACCCAGGCCCAAGCAGCTCAAGGCGGCGGACGACGAGCAGCTTCCAGCTGGCGATGAGGCACCCAACATCGCCCTGACGATGCGGCCACCGCCCCGTCCGCAGCCCATGAGTCGAGACGCGGCCGATGTGGTCCCGCAGACGCAGTCCCCCTCGCCAGCCAATGGCCCGCACACACGAGATCCGGCCGCTGCCCTTCGCATGGTGGATGGGCCGACGCACGAAGGGCGGGACGGTGGACGTGGCGACGGGGATGGCGAGAGGGAGGGCGAGATGATTCCGTTCGATGAGCTGACGAATGGTCAGCTGGTGGAGCTGCTCAAGGCCAACCCGTCACCCGACATGCAACGCGTAGCCGACAGAATCATGGTCAGCAACGAGCAACACACATGAGTGAAGTCGGGATGAATGTGTGTGTTGTCATGTCGGTGTGTTGTCATGTCGGGTCAGACGGAGATCGGTTTGGCGGTGAGTTTGTTGGACATCTTGGATGACATCGACAGTGTGGCGGCGTGTGAGGACATCGGCCGCGACCTCGGCCTCCACAAGGGCATCGCACTCGTCATCATAGCGCAGCTGCGGCGCTTCCTGCAGTCACTCAAGCGGCGGGGGGCCGTCCAGTGGCCACCTGGGGATGGTGTGAGGGGGGACGGAGAAGGCCTGGCTGCCGGCCAGTCGTGGGACGCAGGTCGTCTGGTGTCGGCCATTGAGCGTGAGATGGGCATGATGGCCGAGGACAAGAGGCAGCGGCACGGCGGCAAACTGCAGCACGTCATCGACAAAATCAAAGAGGTCAGTCAACACACAACACACAGCACACAGAATGCGGCACATGGATTCCATTCGTGTGTGTGCAGTATGGGATATCAGGCATGAGCATGTCACTGCTGGTGGAGCCGCCCCAAGACAGCGATGGGTCTGATAAGGGGAGACTGGAGGCGGCACTGATCGATGCGGCGAGGGAGGCCATCTTCATGGGCATATCTGATATGGCCTTGGTGAAGTCGTTCATCCGCCGGGCATTAGCCGGCAGGACGAATGACACACAGCCAGCAACTTCATGTACTGTACTGTGCAGCAGTAGCTCGGTGTCCATATGCACATCGCACCCTGTCTATCTATCTTTGTTTCTGTGGTGAGCGTGTCCACACACGCGCTTTCGCCTCATGCTGTCTATCGCCCGTGGCGGTTACTCAGCCATCAGGCAGTCAGACAGACAGAGAGAGGACCTTGGCCTTTTTGAGACAGAGAGAGAGACAGACAGACAGATAGACAGCTTGACGATGTGTCGATATAAATGTTTTGAGAGCTGTCGGCGGGGGCGAAGGCCACGCTGCTTAGCTTTGCTGGTGTGCGGTGAGATGGGGCGCTGCTAATTCCTTGATATACAATCCCGGTGGAGCGTCTGTGGCCGTACTCGTGTATGTGTAGGGTTGTCTGGGCAGAGAGGGCAGTGTGTGACAGACTCTGACGCATCTCAGTAAAGTGAGACGTGACGGATGGACGGGCAGTCTCGTGTGTGCGATAATGGAAGACAACAGACGTGATTTCATCATAACGTTTGATGCACACACGCATGGATGTGTTCAGTCAGTCAGGAGTCACTCACAGCAGGGATGGCCATTCACCACGTACACACAGGCCATCCATCCACACACACACGTCTCGCCCCGTGTCTGAGATGTGGTGTCCCTCATGCCTCTCTCATCTCGTTCCCTCTTGTTTGTCTACCCCACTCCCCCTGCTCCAACACGAGCTACGCCGCCTCGCCGTCGAACACTACGGGTGCGATCTGTCCCAGCACTGGTCGCGCCATGGCGGTGGTGCGGGGGAAGCGCTGCTTGAAGGGCGCATCAGCAGACACACCAGCTGCCGGCGGCTCGGTTGTCAACACCCTCACAGACACTGCAGACACACAGCACAGGGGAATGAGCGGGCTGTCTGTCTGAGTGACCCTCTGTCGTCTGTAGCTTGCCTTCTCCATCATCCCCCCAGTCTTCGATGTCGATGAATGCGATGAAGGGGTGGTCAAACGGCGTCAGCAGCAGCCACTTGCATGATGAGTCGTTGGCAAGGATAAACGCCGTGACAGCCGTGGTGCCCTCAATCGGCTGGTGGACCGACTGATCGAGCAGGCCCCTCAACACGCCGCCACGCGCATCACTGCAGACACACACAGCCAACCCAATGAAGCATCAATGAGGATGGGGAATGTCGTGGGCCGTCCCAACTGGCCGACCGGTCTATGAATTCCTCAGTGAGATCCATGTCGGCATAGGTGGGCAGCACGATGGTGCCCACAAGGAAGGAGGAAAATGACGCCTCGGTGAATGGGCCACCAGTGTCCCAGCCGTGTTTCTCGTCGTCGTAGCCGGCGATGTGGTGTCTGACTGGGGGGTCCTGGGGGCTGGTGTGTGGGTGGTAGGCGTGGGCGAGGGGCAGGGGGGTCAGATCGAGGCGGTGCTCGGGCTCGTCCTTGATGGCCCGCAGGTCGCCATTGCCGTCGTCGAACAGCTCAAATCTGCCCAACTCGTCGCCGAAGTTGACGTGGCGGCCGAGCATCTTCCACAGCGCGACCACACGCGGCTCAGCCAAATACGCCTGACGTCACACACATCCGTCACATCACACACACACACAGAGAGATGAGTGCCATCCGTCCCCTTCCCCATCAGCCCACCGACCTGTTTGCTACGGTGTTTCTCTAAATCTTGCTGTGTGACGATGACCGGCAGCTCACAGTAGGTCAGCTGGTGGGCCAGCCGCAGTGCGTCGGCCGCCTCGTCCCACTGCTGGTGCTCCACCAGCCACCAGGCCTGCACACACACACACACACACAGAGTATCCATCCATCCATCCCACGTGTGCAGGGCTCCCGCACCTGCAGCAGCAGCTTGCTCCCGAGATTGTCTACGTCGAACGTCACCACGGCATCCAGCGGCGTCCCGTCGGCGAGTTGGGTGTCGTGCAGGGCGCGGCGGAGGCGGCGGCGGAGGACAGCCGGCTCGAAGTCGACGCGCGAGAGGAACCGGGCGCTGATTCTGAGGTTGCCGACCTCCTTGATCTTGTGCAGTTCATCCCTGCCCTCTCGATGAATGACGTCGAGGCTTTGGTTGCGGATGGCAGGCCAGTCCTGCTGGCTGCTCGTCCTCGGCACATTGTTCCCCATTATGAGACGCTTCTCCGCCGGACCACGACCTGCGCGCCAAAACCCTGAAACCCAAACCCAGAAGCACATGTATCTATCAGCGCAGATCTGGTGAGTTTTTGAGCGCGCGATGCGCCTCCCGCCCTTGTCAGATCTGCATCATCAGTGGAAGCCGCTCCTGTGCTATGTGGTGCTGACGCAAGCGTACAGCCCCTACCGTCGCACCATCCGCTCGTTGGCGTACTGCCGACTCCCGCAAGGCAAGAACTTCACCAGTCGCCTATGGCACTGCTTCATCGGGAGGCCGCACCATCGAGCCCGCCACATCGCCTTGACGACAGCGGCGGCCAGCGGCGGGGCTGTGGGACTCATCGCCACAGACGCGAGTGTGGGCAGCGAGGAGGAGGGCGGCAAGGCCAAGTCGGGTGGTGCGATAGTGCGTCGAGTGGATGGCATGGACAAGGCGGACGTGGACGACCGGACCTATCGGACCATCTGGCTGGGCAATGGGGTGCAGGCCGTGCTGGTGAGCGACCCCACTGCAGACATGGCCGCTGCGTCCCTGCACGTCAAGGTCGGCCACTTCCAAGACCCCGAGGAATTCGCGGGCCTGGCGCACTTCCACGAGTGAGCGACCGGGGTCTGGCGTGGCGTCAGTCAGAGGCACTCTGCCCTGCCACTCATGGGATGTGTGTGTGCGTGTGCAGGCACATGTTGTTTCTGGGGACTGAGAAGTTTCCTGTCGAGGGCGAGTACAAGCGGTATCTCAACCGCCATGGCGGCCGCAGCAACGCCGTCACATGGACCGAGACCACAAACTACTACTTCAAGGTGGCCTACGACCACCTGCACGGCGCCCTCGACAGGTAGGTATGCGCCATGCCACAGCTGAGGGACCAGTCCGAAGATGGGTTGGTCTCTCTCTCTCTCTGTGTGTGTGTGTGTGTGTGTATGTGCAGGTTCTCTCAGTTCTTCATATCTCCGCTGTTCAACGAGGACGCCACAGACCGTGAGGTGAATGCGGTGGACAGCGAGTTCTACAAGAACGTCCAGTCCGACCAGCGCCGCCTGTGGATGCTCACCAAGACCATGGCACACCCCAAACACCCCTTCTCAAAGTTCGCCACCGGCAACCTCCAAACACTCTCAAATGAGCCGCATAAGGTCAGCTGGCCTGCACCACAAACCCTGCCACGCAAGGTGTGTGTATATCTCTGTGTGTGTGGACCAGGGCCGTGACGTCCGTGCTGCTCTGAAGCAGTTCCATGAGGCGTATTATTCGGGCAACGCCATGAAGCTCTGTGTGGTGGGCCGAGACGACGTCGAGCAGCTCGAGAAATGGGTGCAGGAGGTCAGCGAGCCAATAGCCAGCCACCACCCAAGGCCTACATTCACTGAAGAGAGCGTGTGCGTGTGCTGTATTGACCAGATGTTTTCGCCTATCGTCAACAACGACAGGCCGACGGTGTTCGAGTACCCCGTGGAGCCCTTCTCATACCAGTCGCTGGGCAAGAAGTACCAAGTGGTGCCCATCCGCGACATCAAGAGGATCGTCTTCTCATTCCCCTACCCGCACTTCGAGGACTTCAAGTGAGGGTTACCATCCACACCAACTCACTCACCCTTGTGTTGTGGCCGTGTTTTGATGTGTGTTGTCTCGTTGTCAGGGAGACCAAGCCGGATATGTATCTGTCATACATTCTCGGATACGAGGTACGAAGGCAGCCAGACGGGGGGCCATGGCGGCAGCGTGTCTGTCTGCATGGCGGTGCTGTCTGTCTGTCTGTCTGTCTGTGCAGGGCGCCGGCAGTCTGCGAAAGCTGCTGGTGGAGAAGGGCTGGGCAGAGGAGCTCAACGCCGCCCCATACTTTGAGGCCACTGACTTCAACATCTTCAGGTGAGCCATGCCATTGACACACCACACCACACCACATAGCACAGCACACTAGGACATCGCCATCCATTGTGTGTGCAGGATAAGCATCGACCTGACCCACGAGGGTCTGCAGCACCTGGAGGAGATCACATCGCTGACCTTCCAGTACCTGGCCCTCATCAGCAACGCCCCGCCCTCGCAGGCGCTCTTCGACCAGATCGCCAAACTCAGGTCCATGAAATTCCGATTCTCAGAGAAGATCGACCCAGCGGTGAGCACGCCACACACACGCGCAAGGGCAGGCGAGATGCACATTGCCTCTGTTGTATCTCTCTGTGCAGTCCTTTGCGACGCTGGTGTCGCGGAACCTCTTTGACTTCGAGCCGCCCCGTGTGTTGAGTGGGCCAGCGCTGCTGACCAAGTGGGCACCGGAGGACATCCACGAGCTGCTTGACCACTACCTCATCCCACGCAACTGCATCTTCACCATCATCTCAAAGGAATTCGAGAAACACGCTCAGGAGGTACGCGCACACACAACCGCCCATCTATCCATCCATCCATCCGATGAATGTCTTTCTCTTCATCCCTCCCTGTCTGTCAGCGGCCCGACGGGTGGAAAAAAGAGAAGTGGTACGGCACGCTGCACCGGGAGGTCAACATCGACCCCAAGAAACTCCGGGACTGGGCCCATCCCTCATCCATCCACTCCAAACTCACCCTCCCGCCGCCAAACGACCTTGTTCCCGTCGATTTCTCCCTGAGATGCGACCAGGAGAGTCCCCCGGCCGACGCCGAGCGGGCGGCGACTGATGGGGGGCCAGGCGAGGCGATGGTGCAGGTGTCAGCGAGGCGGCTGGATGAGGATCGTGGTGGTGGTGGTGGTGGTGAGGACGACTTCCCGCAGCGATTCCGGGTGTCCACCCCTGGCGAGAGCGGCGAGAGGACCGTCGAGATCCTACACAAGATGGATCGCAAGTTCCGGGTGCCGAAGGGCCATCTTTATCTGCAGCTGACGGTCCCATCCAGTCAGCAGAACCCCGCATCGTACCTGCTCAACGACATCTTCATGCAGCTGTTGGGGGAGGAGCTCAACCCGCTGCTGTACGACGCCTCTCAGGCGGGAATGGGGTGCCAGATGGACTTCTACAGCCGCGGCGACATCACCATCAGCGTGGGGGGCTTCAGCGAGAAGCTGCCTTTGCTCATGACCCGGGTGCTGCAGGCCATGCAGAGCCTGCTGACCGAGTACAAGAACGTCCATTTGCCGCCGCCCGAGTCGAGTAGGGAAGAAGAGGATGACGACCGGTGGGAAGACGATGACGACATACAGGTGAGACGAGACGGGGAGGAACGGGATGTGTGCAAAGTACACAGACGGTCGGTATCACCTCACCCGCGTGTGTGATGTATGTATATGATATGCATGAATGTGTTTGTTTGTTCTAGGAGGGGTTGACCAAGGGTCAAGCGAGGAAGCAGAAGCTGCTCGAGAGATTTGAGACCGTGAGACAGAAGGAGAAGAGGAGATACGAAAACAGCAGATTCGCCGAGTCGTACCATCTCGCAAGGTAGGTATGTCAGGCCACCCCACCGTCCCGTCCCATTGACACACCTGTTAGTATGTGGTTGGTTGCAGCCGGTCTGTCAACGAGGTGTTGAATCCCCGAGGCTACTCGTGGGACCAGCACATCTCTTTCCTGTCCAATCCGCGCCAGTGCAACCCCGAGGAGATGGCCCGCAACGTGCAGGAGTCCCTGGCGAGGGGCGACATCACCTGTTTCGTCTCGGGCAACTTCCACCGCGAAGAGGCAGAGGACACCGCCAGGCAGGCCGCTGATGTCCTGCGGATCGACCCGCTGCTCGAGGGCGAGGAGCCCGTCAACCGGTGCGTGGAGCTGCCGTTGGCGAGCGGCACACCGGGCGGCAGGGGAGTGGTCGTCGAGAAGACAAGTGTCGACGCCAACCAGCCCAACTCGGCCGTCGAGGTGCACTTCCAGGTCAGTGGAGTGGACCATACATAGATGGAATGAAGGTCAAGGGAGGGACGGAGGGATGGAGGAAGGGAGGGATGGGTGTGAGTCTAGTCTGCATGCGTGTGTGTGTGTGTGCAGGTTGGTTTGGAGGATCTGAGCTTCGAGAGGGACCTCTTGCTGGACTTGCTTGACCAGATCGCATACCGGTACCGTACCATATATACACACACACTCCTCACGCCCCCCCTGCCCTGCCGTGCACCATCCATATCCTCTGTCCGCTCATCCATCTCCCTTGTCTGATGCGACGCAGGTCGGCCTTCAATCGCCTGCGCACCGAACTCCAGCTCGGATACATTGTGGACACGATGGTCCGGTCGCTGTACGGCACGAGAGGTTTCTCCGTGCGTGTGCAGTCCACCGTGGCCGACCCCCTGGCCCTGGAGCAGCACATCGAGGGCTGGCTGGTCAAACTGCGGCAGGAGGTGGTCGACATGAGCGACCAGGAGTTCCTCAACAGCGTCAACGGCCTGCTGGCCAAGAAGACACAGCGAGACAAACGGTAACACACACACACGCACACACACAGAGGCCCGTTGGGCATGACCGTGGTCATGTGTATGTGTGTGTCGTCTGTGGCTGTGTACAGGTTGGCTGAGGAGAGCTCCCGTATGTGGCGTGAGATCTCCCTGCGCCAGTTTGTGTTCGATCGCAAGGAGAGGGAGGCGGCAGTGCTCCAAGACAACACCAAAATCAGCAAGGTATGTTCGGACCGGACCGCATACGCGCCCTTCCCCCTCCACACACACACACACATCCATCTGTTTTTCCCCCTTCTATGTCCTGCCTCCCTCAGAAGCGGCTGCTGGCGCTGTTTGACGAGCACATAGCCAAGACCGCCCCCTCCCGTCGGCTGCTGGCGTCCCACTTCTGGTCGATCCCACACCGAGAGAGCCACGACAAGACAGCAGAGGCACATGCACAACAGGCCGGTGACAAGAAGGCGGGCGAGGCGGCTGCTGCGGGTGATGGGGGGGTGGTTCTGCGGACGCATGATGATATAAGACAGTTCAGGAGGACGCGGCCGCTGCATCCCGCGAGGCCGCTCAGATGAAAGAGGTTGTGTTGGTGTGTCGGTTTGTTGGCTGGCTGGTTGGATGGATGGAGGGTCACTGACTTGTTCATATGTGTGCCGCGGGCGGATGGAGGGCTGGATGGATGGATAGATGGAGGATGGGCGTTTATCTGTGGCCGGCCGGCGATGTAGTGTATGCGAGACGAGACACACCCACATATAGATTAGATTGTTGGTCAGTGGGTGCGATGCGATGCGATGCGATTTGTGTGTACTCAACTCATGCGACTGACTGACTGACATTTAATCCGAGTTTAATCGTATACAGCGTGTGCAGCCAGCCCTACCTACGTCGTCATGGGTCACGCATGGCATGCAAACTACTCAGTCAGCAGCCAAGACAACACAGCCTACAGCGACAAACAAGGAACACACTACAGCAGCCGACTCGACTCACATGCAATTCACACACACAGAGGGCTGTCAGGTCAGCCAGAGTGCTACGAACAACACGAGCGTCTCTTTCTGAACGCCCATGGCGCTCCTTTGTTTGTTTCCATCTCTTTCTCCTTCCCCTCTATGACAATCTATCTGTGAGGATGGAGACCGACCGAGCCTGTCGACAAATATCCCAGACCATATCCCCACCCACTTTTACTGTACAATCAGCTCAGGAATCTCCCGCACAACGTCAAACGCCAGACTGCCCCGCAGCCTCACCATGGGGCTCTTCCTGCACGAGCTGCACCGCCAGTGGTGCACAGCCACGCTCCTCTCACTCGACACATACCTCGTAGCGTTGTCCTGCGTCTCGGCAAGAAGCGCACAACCCTTGTGGACGTGCGAGCGGTTGGCGAATGCATCCGTCGGTGTGGCCGTGATGCGGCGTGTCCGAGGGTGTCTCTGGCACTTGTCGCGCATCGCACCATCGACATTCCAATGCGCCAGCTCCGGGTATAGCACATCGAAGTCGGTCACCATAACAGAGCCCAGTGGAGGCGTCACCTCACACGAGCGGCTGGCAAGCCGCATCTGGTCCTCCAGCTGAAGAGCCTGGTGCACCAGCCTCGTGAGCGGCCTTGGGCCAGTGCATTGCACGGCGTCCTTGCAATCGACCAAGGCCGCTGACGCATTGTGAAGAGTCTGGTTGAGGAAGGCGCCGATAAGTGGATGGAATGGGGTCGATATCATGGCTGCGTTTGAGACGAAGGGCCTCATGCTGTCATTCACATGCTCGAGCAGATAAACGTGCACCAGATGCTTTTCTCCGACAATCAGGTCATTCCCCTGAGCCTCAGCTTGCCTCAGTAGTGCCTCAAATGGCTGCAGGCATTCGTAGTCGACATCGAGATAAATCCCGCCGTACAGCCACAGAATGAGCAGCCTGCCCAGGTCCGCACGGATGATGCCGGGTAAGTCGCTCCACGGCCTTCGCCATTCGGGGAAGTGCCGCATGACCAGCTGAAGCAGCGAGAAGTCGGTGTAGAAATGGTGCCGCGTCTCATGGTTGACGTCACGGCAGCTCCTCATCCACGCCTTGAACCGAACAGGCAGCCGGCGATGCTTCCACGTCTGGTGGATCACACGGGGGAAGGTCACATTCCTCCTCCTTCTTGTCTGCCCGTCGGCCACGGGATTAACGGAAAGCGCGTCAGCACGAGGAGTCCATCAAGAATGCAAACTTGTCTGCCCGTCAGTGCATGAGGGCATACTGGGGTCTTGCTCTCTCCGCCTCAGGCACTCTGCCCGCCATTGTATCCCGTGCAGATGACGCGACCGCCTCATCCAGCCCGCCGCGAGGCCGTGCAAGCTGGTGTAGCTGTGCGTCAGGGTCATCAGAGTGATAGACAAGGCTGACGAAACCACCACCAGGCCCAGAAGAACACAAAAGCCCCGTGGAGGAGTGGCGGCGTCGGCTGTCTTGTCGGCGGTGAGGGGACTCATCAGAGAAGGCGGCCGCATGCGCATGCAAGCGCAGATGATCCCTGTGCTCCCAGGTCTCCTCACTGCATCCGATGAGTATCCCGCAGCACATAGCCTGGCAGAATTGCAGGAGAAAAAAGACAATTAATGAGCTGCGGACGTGTGCCTGCCTTCTTGGGCTTTTCTTGCCCGCAAGGGTTCAGGGTTTAGGGTTTTGCGAGCTAAGAAAAGGTAGCGGAGTGGGCTGCTCTCCATTCGAAAGATCCAACACAGATCTATCATCATGAAGGCAGCGGTGGCTGTCCTGGCGCTCTGGGAGGTGCTGTCATGCTCGTTTGCGCGGCCTGCCTGCACCAGAAGAGACCAACACAGCTGCGGCCTGCCAACCAAGAACGAAGTCAAAAGCAGCATCTTCTTCAACGAAAAGATGTACACAGGTCAGCCAGAACGCACAGCATGCACGAGTGAGTCACAAGGGAGGGCATGATGGATGGCATGAGTGTGGGTGATTGCTGTCTGATGTCGTGCTGTGTGTTGGTGTGATGCATGCAATGCAGGCCGGGTGCCCATCGGTGGCGGATCCATGTTCTTCGTCTTTTTCCCCTCACGAGGCAACGCCAGCCACGATGCGCTGACGATGTGGCTGACCGGGGGGGACCTTCCAGACATGGGGCTGCAAGGTGCGGTGCGATGGGGAAGAGTGTGATGTCTACAAGGCCGTTTTTGAGCAGTACTTGCATTGTCTGCGCCTGTGTGCGTCTGTCTGTAGGTCCTGGATGTTCCAGTGAGCTTGGGTGGATAGCTGAGAACGGCCCTTTTACTGTGCTGCCGAACGGCACTCTCGCACTCAACGAATACTCATGGTATTCGCCCGCAAACACGCTTGCACCTTGAAGGAACTGTCCTGGTGTGTGCTGGTCTGGTCTGGTCAGGACGGCCGCTGCGAACATGCTGTTCGTTGACCTGTCGCTTGGTGTTGGTTGGTCGCACACCAAGGGACCTGACGGCTACCCAGCCACCGAGGAGGATATCGCCTCTGGTGAGCTGAATGTGTCCTTCCTTGCACGGCTGTCTGTCGTAATCATGTACCCACATATTCGTTATTCTCTCAGACATGGGGGCTTTCCTGGAGGGCTTTCTCTCACTCTTTCCTGACTTTCACGACCGGTGCGTGACGTGTAGCTCTATCGTTTCTGAATGGACCTGCGCTGTCCAAGTGGTTGTTGTGTGTCGTGTCATGTGCAGTCCGTTTGTGCTTGCGGGAGAGTCGTACGCCGGCCACTACATCCCCCACATTGCCAAACATCTCGTAGACAGCCCCATCGACGGCCTCAACTTCAAGGGTGGGTGGGTGCCCTTGACTTACTTGGAGCGCATGGAACCATGTCACTCACCGCCCTCTTGTTCGTTCACCCATGCCATGCAGGGATCGCGATCGGCAATGGGTGGACGAACCCATTCGTCCAGTTCCCCTCCTTTGCGGCCTTCGCCTACGCTAACGAGATGATCGACGATGCCACGTTTGCAGAGGCAAAGCTGGGTAGGTTAGGTGGGCAACGCGACAGACAGACAGGCCGAAGCCAGACGCACTCCACAGATTCGGTTGTGCGTGGTGTGTTATGTGTAGGTTATGGTCTGTGTGAGGAGGCACTGCGGAGTGGCAAGTGGGATGCAGTGGATGCGACGTGCTATCCCCTGACCACGCGTCTGCTCGGCAGCACCAGCCCATATGACATACGCGAACAGTGCGAGGTAACTGACACACACAGATAGAGGGAATGGCGCAACGCATTGGAGTGAATGGCTCTGATTGATGTGCGTTTGTTCATTCATTTTGTGATGGCTGGCTGCAGTTGCCGCCCTATTGTCACGACATGGATGGCATCGTGTCGTTTTTCAACCAGAAGGAGGTCAAGGAGGCCCTGCACGTCAGCCAAGACTGGACTTCCTGCAGCAATGAGGTCAGCAAGGGACGCAGGGAGGGACGGAGGGAGGGAGGGGGGGAAGCACTGCCCAGGAAGGGCGACAGACACACCGCACCGACGAACGCCAAGTGCAGCCATGCTGTGTGTGTATGTGTTCATGCAGCTGCACAAGAATCTGCGCACCGACTCGATCAAGAGGTGAAGAACCAATCGCCATAATACCTCCACTCGCTACACAGGCGTGTCATCCCCCATCCCTGTGTCTGCGTGGATGCTTCTGTGTGCAGCTCGGGCCCTGAGCTGTCGTATGTCATCGATGCGGGTGTGCGTGTGCTGCTTTATTATGGTGACCAAGATTTCATGTGTAACTGGATGGGCGGCCTGGAGATGGCCAAGCAGCTTGAATGGGACCACGCCGAGTCATTCAGAGCCTCACCGGTGAGCAGTGCATGACGACGCACCCCACAGCCACACACACTCACACACACACCCACATACGAACACCACCTGACCGCCCACCCTTCTCTGTTCTGTTGTGTGCAGTTTGTGGAGTGGGTGGTCGACGGCCACCAGTATGGCGCGTACAAGTGGGTGGACAAGCTGTCCTTCCTGCGGGTCTACAACGCGTCCCACATGGTGCCGATGTCATCGCCCGCCGCATCTCTGCGGGTCTTCAGGGAGTGCATCGAGTGGCAGACGGGGCACTGCCACCCTACAGACGGCGCAACATCTAACAAGGAGACGGCCATCTTCATGTGAGTGACCACTGTTTTTTTTTTGGTGGCTGGGTACGTGACGCGGGTGGGCAGGTCGACCCAAGAAGGTACGTCTGAATGGGTTTGGTTTTTTCCTCGTCGTGCCAAACGAGAGAGTCCCCCAGACGTTTTTTTCTGGATGGTGCGTGTTTGTGTGAGTGCGTCTCTGCATGGCGGGTGTTGCACGCGTGGCTTCGGGTCCGCTGTGTTGACGAATGTGAGCGCGCGGGTTTTTTCCTGAAGTGGCCGGCTCGCTATGCATTTAGTTGTGAGGGTTTTAGCCACGGGCATCATTCTGATTGCGTCATGTGTTGCGTCTCGATCTCTTGTCTGCACTCTTTGGTGTCCAGGCCAAGAAAGAAGGTGTACACGACCTCACCTTCTTATCCTAGACACCGAGCACTGCAGACAAGAGATCGAGACGTGGCCACGAACATTGATCGATTATACAAGACAATCATTCTGAGCAGTTGAATGCTTTGAGCTGAATCGCAATTGCACTTCAAGTCATTCATTCAAGTCATAATCCACACCACATGCAGCCAACAGACATCCCTCTTCAAGCAGACAAGTGCCTTGTATGCGATCAGACAGACCCTGTCAGTCATGTATGTCAGGCCTCTTCCTGCACGACCACCCCCTCCTCCACCCGCCCATCCCCATCCCCCCCGCAGTCAGCCTCACAAGACATCACCACCACAGTGCCCCACTCCCCAGACGCCACACGACTCAAATCCCACATACACGACCTAACACCCTCAGCCGTCTCGCCACCATCGCCGCCTGCCTCTCTCTTCCTCTCCTCGGCCAGCAGATGGCCAAGTCGCGACTGCAGCTGCGTCAGGAGGGTGGGCAGCAGCTGCATCTCAAACACACGACGGCCGCCACACGCCCCGCACCGCTCCCCGTCCCCGCCACCGGGCTCCTTGTCACGCGCTTTGAGCCAGAGCGGCGTGCCGCCGAATGAGTAGCGGACGACCTGCTGTGGGCTGCGGGCAACGCGCAGCTGGAAGGCGCGGAGAGCCCTTACGTCGGGGTCGTCGGCCTCGTACGGCTCCTCGCCCATGACCTCTGAACCGTCGCGCTCGTTGCCTTCGTTGTCGTCGAATGATGACGTGCTGCCTCGCCTCTCTGGCCGCTTCGTGTCTGCGGTCTTGCTGGCCTGCTGCGGCGGCGGCGGCGGCGGCTGCTGGCTGGAATCGTTGCAGTACCGTTTGTAGAGTTGCATGACGTGTGCGTCGGACGCAGCGGCCTTGTCGTCGTCCTCCAGCTCGTCTTCATCGCTCTCTTCCTCAGGGCTCTTGGCGCCCTGGTCGCCAGGGTGGTAGGGCTCCTCGTCCACCGAGAGCGAGTAGCCGTAGACCGGTAGAGACGATGTTGGCTCGTCGGTGGGTGTCGCATGAGCAGCGGATGCCGAAGCCTGCGATGCCGCTGTTTGCTGCTTCTCCTGGGTGGTGCTTGCCGCTGAGGGCTGCCAGTTGGTGACCTTGTCAATCAGAGCCTCAAGCTCATCGTCAACGTTGGCACCCCAATCATCATAGGACACGATATCCGCCGCCACGTTCTCAGAAGCAGACCCCGTTGTCCCACCTGACCCAGGTGGGTCAGTCTTCCTTTCTTCCACCGGTGGTGTGGTCGCCTGTAGTGCCGCCGTTCGTTTGACGCGGATGGCCTTCCAGCCCTGCGTGTAGAGGCAGCATGGTTTTGGGAATGCGGCCGATGCGGCTGTGTCCAGGTGATGGAGGCACGTGAACAGGTACAGCACACGGTGGTGCGAAGACTCGTAAGTGGTGTCCCTAACCGTGAAGACATCGACAGAGCCAACGACCAACACAGTGAGTGAATGAGTGAGTGAGTGAGTGGACGGGCCCTAAAGTGTCGCCACGGTCGCTTACATTTGGGCGACGAATGTCAGATCTCCCACACAGATGCCGCAGCGCAGCGAAGACTCAAGTGGTGCCTCACCCAACCAGGCCTGCGACTCACGCAAGAGAATCCATGTGAACAGCATGCATCAGCAAAATCGTTTCCTATCTATCGTTGATGTGGCGTACCGGTTTGCCTCCAATCCGTGACACCGATGGGTCAGTTGCTTCCGATGCACTCAGGGGTGGCCCGACGAAGCCAAGGAGAACATCACCTGATGTGGAACTGAAGCGAGGAAACAAAATCATCATGGATGTGCGTCTACATACGTCTGTGTAGATCTTGAACGCATCCCTCACCTCTTCTTTGTTGTCATGCTCGTCACAAGAAGGAAGGGACCAGTCAGACTTCGCTGGAACGGGCGGAGGGAGCTCTTGTGATGCGCGAATATGGGAAAGCCATCCGAGTCCCTTCCTCCTCCCGATTAGCATCGGTTTCAGGAAGCCCGATCCTTCTGCGCGCTTCGCTTGCAAAGAAGAATCAAAACGCAGCAGCTTTTGTGGCGGAAGATCTCAGCATGGCTCAAGCAAATGAGGGTACGCCACTTCCTGTGGACAGCGAAGCCGATTCACACGCGGCACGTGTGGCTGGCGTGCCCGGCGGCTTTGCTGATACGGGCGAGGAGGAGATCACAGAGGAGCCATCAACAGCAGCAGCAGCTTCAGCAGCAGATGAGGATGCGACAGTGCCGCGGGACAGATCTCTGCTGGTCATTCAGGATGAGGCCGACGAAGAGGATGCTGCTGGAGCTGACTGGTCTGACTATGCCCAAGAGGGCTCGCCCCTGCGGACGGCAAGAGGCATGCGGACGGCGGCAGCGGCAGAAGACCGGGAGCGGGTCCATCCGCCAGTGATGTCGGGTGCGTTCCTCAGCGTGACAGAGGGTGCAGAAGACGCCGAGGAGCCGGCGCCACGTGTTGGTTTGGAGGATATCCTGCTCGAGAGTGAACAAGATGCTTCATGTGACGACTTCTACGGCACCCAGGACACAACTCAGCCAGCGAGCGCTGCAGCAACAGACCAGGAGCGAGTTGATGAGCCTGATGCCGGCAGCAAGGGCGACGACATCCAGCGGCCATCTGAGCCCTTTGCAGCCTCCGCCGAAGACCTTCCCAATGGCGTCAAGTGGGGCACTTCCCCTCCCCTCCCATCAGTCCCCCTGCGCTACGATGAAGGCTCATCCGGCGAGTCATCCCCCACCAGCAACGAGGGCAGCCCTCTCGAGGGCATATCGCTGGAGCCCTCGCAGCCAGCAGAGGCACCAGCCAAGGAGATTCAGGCAGAGCCCGAGCAGGCGACGACAGACAATGGCGAGGTGGTGCTGGCGGAGAGGCGAGAAGGGCGCGGCGACAAGGGAGGGGAGCAGCCCGAGGGCGATAGCGAAACGAGGAGGCCGCCGGGTCTGCCCGACGGCCGGCCGGCGCGGAACCGGTCCTTCGCTCTGCGCAAGTCGGTGGATGAGATCCACAGCTCCTACGACTTGGCCAGCAAGTGTGTGGACGAAGACGACTCGGTGCCTGAATGGTACAAGCATGACGACCACGTGCTCATCTTCACCTACTCGGGCAAGCCCGTGTGGAGCCGATACGGCAGCGAAGACCGCCTCAGCGCCTTCACTGGCACGCTGTCGGCGATTGTGTCCAAGATGGCGTCGCTGTTTGTGCACTCCAAGGGCACCGACTCACTGCGGTACATCAAGGCGGGCGACCACATTTTCGCCTTCATGGAGCGGGGCCCACTCTGGCTGGTCAGCATATCGCGGGGCGTCAGGGGACGCAACAAATGGCAGGAGTCCATCGACGCCCTCCAGTCGTTCTCTGTCCCGTCCACTGCACCCTCCTGCCCCGTTACCCCACCCACAGCCACAGCCCCACACCCCTCTGACGGCCCCACCGTCTATCCCCAGCATCACCACCAGCGCATCCACACCTACAGCATGCTGGCGGAGCTGCTGGATCGGATCCACCAGCAGCTCATATGCATCCTCACCCGCGGCATCGACAAGACACTCAAGGCCCGCCCCTCCTATGACGTGAGGGCGCTGCTGGGCGGCACGGATGCCGTGCTGAATAACCTGATCGAGTGGTCGGGGAGGGACATGTTCGCCCTGGTTGACAGCTTCGAGCCGCTGCCCCTGGCGCCCCCGATGCGGGTCATCGCCACCAACGCGTTGAAGGACTTTAGGGCGGTTGGGAGTGGTGTGAATCCGCAGCCCCACGTGCTGGCGGCCATTCTACTGGCGCACCACCGGGTGGTCACCATGGCCGTGTCACGCGTCATCAAGAACCAACTGCACCCCACAGGTGGGTACACTCGGACAGACAGAGGGAGGCGCGATTCATGGGTTAAGTGAGTGAGTGGCGAACTATTTGTCTGCCTGTGTGTGTGTATGTGTTCACATATTGTATGGATTGGCATGTATGGTCAGATTTGGTGATTCTGATCAATTTGGTTCGGTCGTCGGCCCTGCGGCAGTCAGAGTCATGGACACCTGTCTGCCTCCCACACTACAACGACAGGTGGGCGGGGCGAGGCGTGACCCACACCAGAGACAGAGAACGAGAGGGAGAGAGGGAGGGAGGGAAGCATCGCGGCATGTGCCGCTGTTTGTCTGTCTGTGTGCAGCGCGTTTTTGTATGCGTACGTCAACTTCTCTGGTCGCGATTTGGGTCTGGTGGTGCTGTCATCCACGTCGGACGGCGACCAGTTCTATGCGCTGTCACAGCACTTCCACAGGATGATGGAGGTAGGGAGGGAGGGAGAAAGTAGGTTGACCAGACAGACAGACAGACAGATAGGAACCGATGTGTCTGTCTGTCTGTCTCACGGTTGTGGCGTGGCGTCATTCTTCATTCTTCATTCTTGGCTCAGGCCTTGTCGAGCAGTGGGTGCCTTGACGCCATCCGCACCTCCATCGCATACTGCCCATACGCACTCCGTAAGCTAAGTGGTGTGGTGTCTGTACATTAATTACACATACACACACAAAGTGCTGTACGGCACGGCACGCCTCCATCCCATCCACATCAGTGCGTGCGTGTGCGTCATGTCCTGCATGTGTTGTCGTGTCCATCCCAACCAACGTCACGTCCAGCCAACAGTTTGCTGAGCACCTTGGGTGTGCCGTTCATCCACGTGGGCTACTTCCTCCCCTCCCTCCAGCAGTACTTCGGGTCGGCATTCAGCAGAGACTACCAGGAACCTGCAAGGGAGCAACAGTGAGTGAGCTGCCCCACCTACGACCCGATGGGCGGCAGGACTTGTTTCGTGTGTGGTGTGTGGTGTGTGTGCAGGTTGTTTAGTGTGTATCACTGCTGCAAGACATTGCTGGCCAAGACCAAAGCCAAGTTGCCGTGTCAGCTCTTCTACAAGCGAAGGGTGAGGACAGTGAGGGAGAGAGGGCCATCCATCCATCCATCCATCCATCCACTGGCCTTATTGTGTCCTTGTATGGTTCGTTGGTTCTTTGTTTCAGCACGAGTCGTTCTTCGTGTGGCAGACGGCCGAGTACCACCTCTACTGTTGCGCACCCAGATGGACAGGTAGGTGAATACGCACATACCTGCAGGCACGCAACCGCACACCGCTCATCGTATCCAATCCATGCATTTGCCTCTCTCTCTCTCTCTCTCTGTCTCTTCGGCTTCTGCTCTGCTGACGTCTGTCTGTGTGTCTGTCTGTTTGTGTTGTGTCAGAGTTGAGCACCCATTCGTTGACTCAGCTGGTGCAGTGGCTCAAGACGCAGGAGAGCTTCCTGTTCATATCCAACATACCCACGCTATAACCGGCCAACCAGACAGCCAGCCGGCGAGACAGGCGTGTTCTCAGTGCGTCCGTCCGTCTTATCCTATTCACTGAGTGTCGAATGAGCGCGTTGCTGCTTGCCTTGTGGAGTGGGGCCATCTCGTGAGGCGGGGCGGGCTGCGATGAATGGACGGACATCATGCCATGACATGCCCCTCCTCACGTAGTAGGGTAACGCACGACAAGCCACACAGCAACACAATCAAGCAGCTGCCCGCCCCCCTGCCTGCCTGCTGGAGGGACGAATGTCCGTCTGTCTATCTGTCTGTCTGTCTGTCTGTCTGTCTGTTAGTCTGAAGGGCGTGCGTTTTATCTCTGTGGGGTCTGCCTGTCTGTCTGTCCGGGTTCATTCATTGATGCGACGGCTTGACGGCGTCTTTGATTCCGTATTCGATCCGCTGTACATACATATATACCAAGCAAGATGCCTACCTACATATGGATTGATTGGTGACACCAACACCAAGTTGGTGTCACCAATACGTGATGTGACGTGACACTCTCTCTACTCTGACCCGGCCCAGACCCTCTTCGATTCGATATATGATCCATCCATTTTAACTTAGCGCACACACCTGGGTGGCTGTCTGTCTATCTGTCATGTCGAATGTGTGTATGTCGAATCACATCCATCCATCCATTGCACCATTCAATGACTGTCCTACCTACCTAGTCACTCACTCAGCAGTGAGTGAGTGAAGGCACAACTAACTCCATCAACAATCAACCCGTCCATGTATTGATTGTATTGGCTGGCCATCTGCAGATCAGGCAGCCTCAGCCCAGCACTGCTCGAGCCCCTTGTCCAGCTGCTCACGGTCCAAATGCCGACCGATGAAGAGGAACTTGGACTGAAACGCACCCTCGCCATCGCCGCCACTGCCGTTGTTGTCCCTCACCCGCTCGATCTCAAACAGCTCTCCGACACCCTGCAGGGCGAACAGCCGGGGGACATCGGTCGTCTCTGCTGCTGCTGCTGCTGCTGCTGGCGACGGTGACGGTTGCAGTGCGGGGGCTTCGTCGTCGTCTTCTGCGCCGGGCATGTCACTGTCATCTTCCTCGTCACCTCCGATGGCCGTGAAGATGCCTTTACACCTGAACACACACACACATGGGATCTCTCACACACATGTGCTGCGTGCGTCGGCTGCACTGACTCACTGACTTACTAAGTCACCGACCTGTATATCTTGCCGGCGGCAGCTTCCCAGAGCATCCTGGCTATCCACCGATTGACGGCATCCCAGCTGAGCACCCGCCCTTGGCCTCCCCCCGCCCTGCCGCTGGCGGCCGTCGGTCTTGTGAGCAGGACGCTGTCCACCAGGGGGTGGCCATGTGAGTGCGCATGGGAGGGGGCGCCCACGTGGCTGTGCTTGGGTGGGTGCTCAAGCTCGTGGTGCTCATCATGATCATGCTGATGCTCGTGATTGTGGTTGTGGTGGTCGTCATGGTGGTTGTGGTTGTTTTGTCGGCTGTTTGGCGGCTGTGCGAGCATGAATGCTTGTGGCTGCGTCTCGGCTGTCTCGAGAGCTCTCAGGTGGAGGAGGGAGTCCAGGGGGGCCTCCGAGCGGGTGCACCTGACAGACAGATGGGGGGATGGGATGGCCAGAGGACGGTCAGCTCAGCTGATGGACGTGTGTGTATCTGTGCATGTGTGTGTATGTGTGTCTGTCTGCACCTGACGATTCGTGCGTATGGGTTGATGGAGGTGATGATCTCCTCAAGACGCTCGCTGTCCGACGACTCGGCAAGCAAATCCTGAAACACACAGCACACGCGCCGTTGCCTCAGCCTGTGTGTGCGTCGTGGATCTAGTTCCCCTGACCTGTTTGTTGACCAGGATGCAGTCGGCAAAGGCAATCTGCTTGGCTGCCTCTACCTCTAGACCTGAGTCACATGCACACCACGTGAGCGCACACATGTATACATGTCCATACGTGTCTGTGGGGAGTCCCTCGCGACGAGCCCATTTCCTACCCGCCGACGCCTCTGCAGACTTGTGGTCGGTCCTCATCTGCCGAACCCTCTCCAGCCAGTCGACGTTCTCCCCCTCGCCATCCCCCTCTCCCTTTCCCTGTCCAGCGCGCCCATTCGCTTGCTCCGACGGAGGGCTCGACGAGTTCTCGTGACCCAAACACCTGCACACAACACACAGACCCAAGCCGACCTGCACTCGATGCAGCCAGCCAGCGATAATCTGTGCCCACATGTGTGGCCTCACTCACCGCAGGACGTTCTTGGCATCGACGAGTGTGACGATGCCGTCGAGGTAGAGGCGTGAGTCGAGGTTAGCGTCCACCCAGAATGCGGCGGTGACGGGCTCAGGGTCGGCCACACCCGTGGTCTCCACCAGAATGTAGTCGAACCGGTCCTGGTGCTCCAGCAAATTGTCCAACGTCGCCACCAAGTCGTCACGCACCGAACAACAGATGCCTGCATGCCATGGCACATTGTTAACATACACACATCACATCACATCACATCACATCCGAGTGATTAATGCGTGAGAGTTGAGTCTGTCTGTCTGCCGAGGCTTACATCCGTTTGGGAGCTCGTATATCTCCTTGTAGACCTCCCCTTTGTCGTCGACGATGACGGGGCTCTCGATGCCCATCTCCTCCGAGAACTCATTCTGTACCACTGCTATGCGCTTGCCGTGCGGCTGACGCAATATGTACCTGTCAGCATACATCAAAGAATGAACAAACCCCAATCCATCCAACAAACAGACCGTCGCATCTTTGCCGTGATCGATCTCTCCACATTCGCATGGATGAGATGAGCACCTGAGCAGCGTCGTTTTCCCAGCACCTGCGCCGAGCCCAAAAGGACAGCAGCAGATCATGACTGTTGCCGTCGTGTCGGTGTGCTTCTGTGCTTCATGCCTACCCAGGAAGCCCGTGACGATGGTCACAGGAACCTTCTTCCGCATTGGTGAACACTCCCGGATGAATCTCGAGGAGGTGAAAGAAGCCGGCAATGAACGCCCGCTGTCAAGTGTGACCCGAGCAGCTTCAGGGAGTGACAGGAGGCTCAGGACGGAAGATCTGGGGGTCTACAGCCAAGCTCGCAACTGCAGTCTCAGCCCCCACTGGCGTCCCCCATCTGAAGTCCTCTCGCCGCCGTGTATCACTCATCGCCATGGCGGGACTCTTTCATAGCTTCTTTTGCTCGTGTTGCACACCTACCGAGGAGGCGCGGGCGGAGGAGTCAACGCAGCTCATGGCGGGCCCAAAGGGACACAAAGTCGGCATCTCACGTGAGGTTTTGGCTGCGAGAAGGCACACACACGCAATCAACCGTGGACGAAAGAAGGGCTTCAAAGAGAGAAGCCAAATGCAGTGGCAGTGTCGGTATCTTCTTTTCCTCTCGTGTCTGTCTGTCACTGCAGTCGGCCCCGATCCGGGTCAGGTGACCCTGGGGAAGGGTCAGCTGACTGGATACAATGGCGTGTCTGAGCCAGGCCCCGAGCAGAGCCCGCCACTCGGAGCCGCAAATCCACCACTTGGCGATGAGTCGTCGCCAGGCGGGCCCGGGAGTCACATTCAGGTGGTGCTCCCTGGTGAAGATGCCGAGGGCGGCGAGGCGGACGACAATGAGGGCGGCAGGAGGACAGGAGGGCCGGCCAAAGGCAGCAAACTCACCGCTGAGGAGAAGGTAAGTGGTATCTATACGTACGGTCCCGTACGTGTGTACGTGTGTGGTGTGACTGTGTGTCTGTTGTGGGCGGGCAGGAGAATGAGAAGGCTCGTCTGCAGCGGGTTGTCAAGGACTTCGCAAAGGTACTGACTGACTGACTGACTGTCACGCATTCGTGTGTGCGAAGAGGTCATTGCACAATCAGGCCTACGTGTGTCTCGTCGTCCTGTGTTTGTCTCTTTGTGTGTGGGTCAGGATGCCGTCAAGGGCATGGAGATGACCGTCATAGACCTCGACGGTACACAGGCACAGGCCCGCCCAGGAGTGTCCAAAGTTCACCCTCTGGATGAGTGTGCAGGGAGGAAGTTCAGGACCCTCTTCCAAATGGACAACTACCTCCAGGTAAGCCAGCCACAGCACAGCACTGCACAGCTCACAACCCCACTGCAGTCACTGTTGTGTGTGCGGTGGCCTGTCCGTCCGTAGCACTTCACGTTGGAGCCGGTCAAGGGCGAGGGTGAGGGGGAGAGCGGCGATGAAGTGCCAGAACACATGAAGAAGATCGAGATGAAAGGGGTGCGAGACGAGACGAGACGCGATGGATGCAACACACACAGGGAGACAGGGAGACAGACAGATTGGTTGTCCTGCCTGCTGTCTCTGCCCCTGTGGGTGCCTGTGCATGTGTGTGTGCCCAGATCGAGAGTGTGTACAGGGGCACCAAGATCATGAAGAAGAACCCCGCCTTCCCCTATCCCGAAGACGCACCACACTGTGTCGGTGAGAGAGACGCCCATCAGTCATGTCCCCCATCCATCCATCCATCCATGTGTGTGTGTGTGTGTGTGCGTAGGTATGGAGACCAAGCCCGACAGGGTCAAGTTGTTTTTCCTCATTCCCGAGGAGGACGCCCGGGACAAATTCTACACATGCCTCAAAATACTCAGGTGACCACACACTCACACATAGAGGCAGAGGAGGCAGACAGGGAGGGGAGGGCTGAATGGCCGTGCCAGCCAGGCAGCCAGTGAAGGAGGGACATGCATGTTTGCTGGCGTGGCAGACTTTCCGTCGAGGTCAAGAAGCAGCCGTGATCCCTGTTTTATTTGCAGTTTCGGAGTCGCCCAGCTAGCCTAGGCCATGCCATGCCAGGAGGGAGACACAGTGAACGTCGCGGCCAGCTGACCAGCCCAGACACTTTTACACGTGTACATACACACATCTATCTATCTGCCTGTGTGTGCGTGTGTGCGTGTGTGTCTGTATGTCTGTCTGTCTGTCTGTCTGTCTGTATGTCTGTGGATCGACTGACGGACGGGACGGACTCGACTGCGTGCCGAAATGGGTAACTAACGGACGGACGTGTTCGCATTGAAGGAGATGTTGCAGTCAGGCCAGCAGCACGCAGGAAGGAAGGCACTCAAAAGTCTCACTTTGAGGAGCGTGCAAATGCACAGACACACATCAAGATGCGCATAGAGTAGTCAGCAATCCACAGAGAGACATCGGCGTGTCCATCCATCCATCCATCCATCCATCAGATGTCCCAGCACAGCAAGCCGGTGAGCTGTCTATCACTCGTCTCGTCTTTACGCGACGCGGCGGCAGCTAGCTCGGCGGCTTGTCGGGATAAATCACACCGCACGACAGGCAAGGCACGCACCCAAACATCCCCCTCAATCCACGCACAGTCGCTCAAGCAGGCACAAATACATACCGCCCCGCCCACCGCCCCGCCCACCTATGTCCCCTGTCTTTGCCCGCCAACCAATCACAATAAACTCCTAAACGCTGCCGGCATGCGTGCCGGGCGAATGAATCTACCCTACCTACCTGCTAGTAACCTTTGCTCACGCACACATGCAATCAATCACACACACATGACAGGTACACACACACACAGAGGGGCAAAAGGTCTGAATTGAATGAAAAAGGAACGCCAGCCACGCAGCGCAGCGCAGCCAGGGGGGCGGGCCCGCCCTTGTGCCTCTCGTATCGGCCGATACGGAGCAGAGCCGGGGGGCAGTCTGACTGACTGACTGACTGACTGGCTGGCCTACACCACCAAATCACAGACAGACAGCTGTACACATCCACAGACACACACACGACTGACAGACAGAGAGGGATACGAAAAAAGCGACAAAAGTGAACCAGATGTACGGCCGACCTCCTTCCTCCTCGTGCGTGTGGACGAAAAACACACAGATCCTCTCCCTCCCTCCTCTCCCACTATAACCAATATCTATCTGCACTATCGTCTGGCGATGCGACAATACTACATACAGGGAGACTAGCAGCTAGGGCGCTCCGCATCGCGACACAGACAGCACTACAACATTCACTGGACGAAAAAAAGCAGATACGACGCTGTGGTGCACTAGGTCACTCTGATGCGATCGGTCAGCCAGCCATTCCTTCCCCCCCTCCCTCCCTGTCTGGTATTCCCACTCAATCAGTTGCCGAACTTCTGCAGAGTGTCCCTCATGGCCCAGTACGCCGGCTTGGGCTGGAAGTTGCCGTCGTAGATGAGTGGGTATGCCCCCCGCAGCCAGGTGGCCCTGTCGCTGACGCCCCACATCACGTAGCCGGTGCAGTTGGGCTCTTCAAGACAGATTCTCAGAAGCCCTGAGTAGATATCAGCCTGGCACATACACACACACACACACAGAGCACAGATCAACTCACGAGTGCGTCATGCCTCCCTTCCTCCCTTTGCCCGCCTGTCCCTGGCTCTCTGACCTGTTTCCGCGCCTGATCGGGTCCCCAGTTGTTGCAGTTGTGCCAGTTGGCCCCCCGCCACTCACCGCACCCGACGTCCACCTCGGTGAACTGCACCTCCAGGCCCAGCTTGGCGTAACGCCGCACATTCTTCCGCACGCCCTCGAACATGCTGAATTTGGTGTTGACGTGCAGCTGGAAGCCCACCCCATCGATGTGCACGTTGCGGTCGTCGACCAGCTGACGCACCATCGTGTACATGGCGTTGGACTTCGGACGAGACCACCCGTCCTGACGAGCCACAGAGCCACAGATAATGACACGGAGAGGGAGAGGGAGATATGGGGACGTATAGATTTATTGTGTGGTCGAGATATTATGTGAGGGGGGAGGGGGGCATGTTTGTGATGTTTCTTACAAGTGATGCGACGCCGTAGTCGTTGTAGTAGAACTTGTATGGCGTGCCGGGCTTCTTCTGCTTCATGTGCTTTTGGGCCATCTTGAACGAGTAGGACACCCAGTCCCTCATGGCGGGGTACAGCGGGCTGTCGCGCCAGCGGACGTTGTGGCCCTGACCAACCTGGTTGTCAGATAAGGCTGAACAAGCCACATACACACGGGGAGGGGACAGCAGATGTGCGTATCAGCGTCTCTTCATCCATCCATTCAGATGCGTACCTTCGTTGACGACGTCCCACCAGAAGGATCGGTCGCCGTACCTGTCCACCACCTGGCCGATATAACGGTCCAGCATGCTCCGCTTGGCCTGGGGCGACTGGTTCTTGTACCAGCCGGGCAGCGAGTTGTGCCACGCAAAGGTGTGGAAGCGAAAGTGAAGCCCCTGCTGACGCGCAAAGTCCGCGATCCTAGGATGGACGACAAGTGAAGTGACACAGAGGGAGAGAGAGCGAGGTGGGGCGGGGTGGGTGGCTTCTTGGTCTTTCCTCCTTTCAGTCACGTCGCACCTGTCGCAAAGTGACCAGTTTCGGTTGTTGGGTGAGGGTGCGATGGCGGCCATCTTGCACTCCCACTCGGCCACGACCATGCTGTACTGGTCCCTCACCGTCCGAAGGTACCTGGCGTCGTTCATCTGGGCTATGTTCATCGCAGCACCGATGTACAGATTGTGACGGTCAGCCAGCGCACGCAGTGTCCCTGCATGGCACGCATTATCAATCGCACCACCGACAAACCACATGGGTGGCCTCACCACCCGTCCTCCCCATCCCATCCACCCCTCTGTCCTGTCCCCACCTTGCTGTGACCTGCCCGTGTGGGAGTCCTGGAAGGACTTGCGATTGGTGCGGTGGAAGTTGGAAAACTCGCCACCGAATCGCGGTCGGTCGGCGGGCTTGGGGGTGGACTCCGGGTGGGGCCTGGGCTTCTCGTCTTCAGAGCTGCCGGAGGGGGGACTGCGGCCTCCGATGCCACCCACGCAGAGGAGGCTTGCGTGCAGCTCGCATCGCTGGGAGGAGGGGATGAAGGTGTAGGCGCGACATCTTGGGTAGCGGGCGCAGAGGGACCGGCACTCCTCCACCGTGGAGGTGTCTGTGCTGCCGACGGGGGAACTGGTGAGCTTCGAACCCTCCGACAAGCAACCTGACAAAAGGAACGCAAGGAAAGACACACAGACAGGTGAGGTGAGGGAGGTGAGCACAGTCATCTGTCTGTCTGCCTGCCCTTCCCACCTGTGACACAGAACCTCGGTCCCGATATGGCGTTTGTGTCCTCCCTAGGTGGCTCTGCCAGGGCCATCTCGCTCTTGAGCCAGCACTGTCTCTCTTGGGTGCGGTAGGTGAAGACAGCACATGGCGGAGACCCACGGTGCGCCTGACAGCGTGTCTGGCACTCCTCGGCCGAGCCGATTTCCTTGGCAGACAGCAGGTCATGGCCCCAGTAGTCCCACCCAGGATGATAACAGGCTGCATGGAGCCAACAAGCAGGACAGAGAGGCGATGGGTCACCGGAGCCGTCCCTGGTCTGTCGTTCCGCTGCTTACCGTCCATTAGATTGTTCTTGATCTGCAGGGCTCTCCTCTCATCAGTCGCATTGAGAATGCCCGTACCGTTCCCATCATGCACACCTACACCCAGCCGCCTTCGCAGCGGCGGGCCGTCGCACCTCCCGTGTGACGGGCAGCAGGCAGCCACCGCACCAAGAAGACAGAGTGCACGCATCAGCCGCTGCCGTGGCCGATAGATGTCGCACCACTGCCAGGCGTTAGCAGTAACGGTAACAGAAGAAAGAGGGCAGTTACCGCCACCGGAATCGGGCCGGTTCCTCTGCATGGTGATAGATAGTGTGGCGATGGCTGGACGGCGGCAGCAGGCAGGAGGGATGACTCCAAGGCGGCTGCGATGAGTGAGCGGCTGAGAAGGTCAAGAAAAGTACGAAGATGCGATCGACGAAAAAGGCGATGCTGGTCGCTGCGATGACTGCGATAGAGGCTTCAGAACAGCGGCGGCGTCACGTCACCGCGCGTCATCAGCTCTCAAAAAAGCTCGCAGGGTTTTGAAACCCTGAAACCCTCTGCGTCCGCCTTCACGGTGATCACATAAGAGATTCAAAACGTATGTACACAGGCCTGCGCGTCTGCCTGACTGCTGGCGATCCCATATCGATACTTATTGACAGCCGCCTCACATGGTAGAAGCCCTTCCCACAACGAAAAAGTCGACGCCTTCCTCTCGGTATACACAATATGACATTCATGCCTCTTCATCGTCCTCATCTGCGCAGGAATGGATTGACAGCAGCAGACCAGAAGAACCCAATGTGTGTGTGATGCACTCGTGTGTGTATGTGCGCGTGTGTGAGTGTGCCTGGGTACACACCGAAGTTGTGATACAAGGCGTCGTCCCACTGCTGGAGCGGCAGTCGTGTGTCATCTCGATGAAGCAGCTCCATAATGGAGTCCACTATCGCCTGCGACTCATCCTCCAGTTTGAGTGTCTTGACGTGCACCAGTTCGCCGGCCTTGTCGTACGTCTTGTTGTCGTACTTGTAGAAGTGCCAGCGACGGAAGGTGTCCACTGCGCAGCCGTATCTCAAAGTTTGCTCACACACACACACACACACACACACATAGAGCAAGAACGAGTCGTCTTTCACCCCTCTGGCGTGGCGCCACCAACCTGCTTCTCGAGGCGCAACCTGAGGGCCTCCTCCGGCTTCACGTCCGAGTCATCGCCGACCAGCACCCACAGCTTCCTCGGGTATTCGGCTATCAGTCGGCCGTCCTTGTCCTTCTCAATCAGGAAGGACACTGAGGTGGCCTTAATATTGTCTTGGTCATATGGCTTGGCCCGAACACGGCAGTCGGTCTGGAGCTGCATCTGCATAAGCAGCGGCCACACATAGTATGACACCGTCAGCTGATTCTGCTGCTTCAAGTCTGAGTCCAAGTAGCTGCACACACAACACAGAGAAACCAGGCAGGAGGCGGGAAGAAAAGACCATGGTGCTGGCTGCCTCTCCCTCCCTCCCATGTTGGTCTGCCTGCGTGTGTTGGTCTGTGACGTACTCTTCGATCATGCCAGGCAGCGTGTGTCTGTTGACAAATTCGTCAAGGAGTGTGATCCTGGGCAGCGCTGGCAGGCCCTGCCGGACCTCCTCAGCACCACGCCCATACACATCACCAACGGGAGTGCCTGAAGCCCCCGACACCCACGCATGGATACAGCATACGGATGTGCATATATATATATCTGTGTAGGCCCGGATCTTTCAGTGCATGCACTACGAAAATGCAATCCTACCTGGTGGCACACCGTCTGGCTGCTTCGACGGCACAGGTGCTGACGTCACCGTCGCCGTCGGCACACTCTGAAGAGAGGGAAGACGCAAAGATCTCCGTGGTGCGATGCAGCCGTCATCCTTGTCAGCGCTGCTCGCGCACCTTTCCTGCGGCTGTCCGAAGCGCCCGGCGCGACGTCAGTGTGGTCTGGTGGCCAAAGGGAGGCACAAACACGTGAAGATCCATTGATGCGGGACGCACAATTCAAGAACGGCACACAATTCCTCTCAGGGTTCGGGTTTCAGGGTTTGGCAGGTGCCCGTTCAACGCGCCCGTCTTGCTCTCGGGAAACAAAGCATTGCCGCCTTTTGTCGCTGGGTGGAGAAGAGGATGATGCCGCTCGCTGACACAGATGCAGCGCATGACGTGACGGCACCGTCACCCGCGCCCCAGAAGCACCCGTCCGGCGATGACAAGGTGCGCACAGGGGGCACACATGTGCTGAGGGAGGGGATCCACACCACACCCGCGGACAGGGGGAGACCGTGCATGCCGACACGGATGGATGCGTCAGCATCTTCTCATCACCATCGGTGTCTGTGTGTGTTTGTGTGACATTGGTTTGCCCATCAGGCCAGTCAGTCGAAGGCCGCCAAGAAGCGCCGCGCCTCCAAAGACAAAAAGAAACTCCGAAAGATAAGGTAGGATGGAAAGGAAAAGACATCCTGCGTGCTCCCGTCAAACATCAAGTGTGTGGTGGTGTGTGGCGTGGTGTGATCTGTGCACAAGCAGCATGATGTCTGAGGCCTCGACAAAGGACGACTCGTCGCCAGAGATCAAGCCCGACGCCACACCTACTGGTACACTCGCATATGCGACAGAGTGTGCAGCACACCGACCACACCCACCACCTGCGAAGCCATGTGTGGTTGTCTGTGTGACTGTGTCCATCAGGACGTTTTGGGGATGGCCTTCAGTCGTTGGACGCCGTGCATGTACCACCTGCCGATGACCCTGTCGAGAAGGTGAGTATGACCCTCCTCAGCCCGCTACAGCAGGCGCCATGATCCTGTTGTTCACGCAGGTCACCAACTGCACATCGTACGGCCCTCCTCCCGTCGTCACGCCCGAGATGGAGCCATTCGAGGCCTTCTTCCGCACCACCGAAGCCACTGTGGGGCTGGGAGGGACGTGTATCGACGAGAGCACCCTGATCTACGTCACCCACATCGCGTGTGGCGGCCACGTGGTCATCGGCTGGGTCCTGAGCGGCCCGCACACCCGCAAGCTCGAGGCCTTCTCCAACCTGCCTGGCGACGGGCTGGAGATGGTCAACCTCTGCCCATCTCCGCCCAGCCCCCTTGAGCCCGCCGAGTACGCCAAGTACCGGTCCCTTGGCTACCTGCCCGTCATGATCGGCAGCGCAGACACTCACGAGTGGCGGGAGACCCGGCTGCTGCCCTGTCCACACGTGGGCGTCGCGGAGGTGCGGATGAAATACGGCGACGCGCTGCTCGAGAGCATCCTCAACGGCGCGGCGGCCAAGGCGGTCTACCAAGACTGACTCGCCGACCAACACGACAGTGCTTATGGTTGCCGTAGTTGTGTGTGAGGGCGGGGAGGGGGGAGTGTGATATATGGATGATGGGTGGACGGACGGTTGGATTGCCTGCCTGCCTTCGGGGCTGGCTGGGAGTTTTGAACGAGTGGCTGGTGGCCGGGTGCACGTGTCATTATCTGTGTGGACACGAACGCAATCATCAGTCGACTGCATGGCTCGGCTGTTTTTTCCTTCGTCCCTTGGTACACACATTTTTTGACGGGGCGGGCGTCGATGGCAGTCTGGTGTGGTGTGGTGTGCAGCTGTGTGTGTCTGTGTGCTGAGGTGATTGGTGGCTGGCTGTTTTATAAATCACCATGACACGGGAACCGTGGCACGTATACACGTGTGTGTGTGTGTGTGTGTCTGTGTGTGTGTGTACGTATGCATACCGCGTATTTAAGACAAATTGATACACAAGCAAACATGTATGGACGTGTGTCGTTCGATAGGATGGCATCCTGCCCTGAGAGCACCCGCCGCATTTAGAGGGATGAGGTATTCAACATCGGCTGGTCGGCTGGCCGGATGGATGGCTGGCTGGCTGGGTGGATGGATGGATGGATGGATCTCTCTATTGGTTTTGTTGGCCTCGTTTTGGTCTTGTGGTTGAGGCTCCAAGCGCGAGAGAGTACGCCGGTCTGGCTGCCTTGCTTGTGTTGTGGTCACCCACCTGCATGCGTGTGTGCATACATAAATCGTCCGTGTATGCGGCAGTGTGTGTGACTGCAGGCCTTTATGTACATACATACACGATGTGATGTCCGTGCTGGTGCATGTGAGTCGATCGATGACTGTCTCCGTGGCTGGCCGGTTGGCGTGTGCTTGGGCGTGTGTGTGTTTTTGCCGTCTGGCCATCCATCCATCAAGAGCAGTGAGTGCAACTGTACAGACATCACACCTGCGTGTATGCATGCATACGTGGTGATGGTCAAACCATGCTGATTTTCATGCTCTGCTCCTGAATGCGATCCACTCAAGTGCGAGCTCATTTCATTGCGTTCGTTCGTTCTTCCCATTGCGAGCGCCTCATCCTCTCTTCATCGTTACGAATGCGGGGCGCCATCACACGGTTTGAGACGGTTTCCGAAGGGCGAGTCGTCATCAGCGGCAAGTTCTGGTCAACCAGCGAGGAGAAGCTGCCGACGCTGGGCCAGATGCCCCTTGTTGTCTTCGTCCATCAGTACAGCAAGGTGAGCACGTTCACACGCCTAGCTGCACAAAACAAGGCCAGATCTCGTTGTTGCATCCCCCTCATCAGCGTGTCGGTGTGGTGTCTGTCGTGCTGTGTGTCAGATGGGCGGGTGTTCGCAGCTGATGGAGGGCATGGCGGCTTTGACCGTTGACAGGGGCTTCCCCGCCTTGACATTCGACATGCGAGGGGTCAACAGATCTTCAGGCTGGTGGGTCAGGCAAAGATGAAGTCGCTGATTCTCTTCCAGAAGGATGTGTCGGTGCTGCGTGTGCTGTGTTGTGTTTGGCAGGTCAACAGTGACGGGCATGTCTGAGGTGGCTGATGTGGTGGCCGCATGTGAGTGGGCCGCCAAGCACCTCAACGCAACCAATATCCTCCTGGTCGGCTCCTCAGCTGGCGCACCTATCGCAGGCAAGCAACATGACGGTTCATTGCAGGAGTGTGCCCTCCCTGTCTGCGTTGCGCTGCGTTGTGTTGTGTCGTGTGCCTGACAGGGACTGCCGTCGAGCGGCTGCCGATGGTTCGTGGGTATGTAGGCATTGGCTATACGTTCGGCTGGTTCGCCTCCATTCTGTTCGGGTGAGGTCACCCAGGCCCGCACCGAGAGCCCCATGCTCATCCTCATTCCTTGGCCTGTCTGTCTGTCTGCTTCTTGTCTGTTCAGGGGCCACTACGAGCCGATTCTGCGTGTGGATAGGCCGAAACTCTTTATCATGGGCACGGCAGACGGATTCACATCTGTCCGGACCTTCGATAAATACTTCGACAGGTCGGCAGGCGGGATTGCCACTGCCACTGCCCCCACCCATTGTGTGTGTGTGACATTTGCAGGTGTGTCGGTCCGAAGGAGAAATACCTCATCAACAACATCGGGCACTTTGAGCTCGAGGTGAGAGAGACCAGATCACGGACCGTCCATCCCCGCACTCTGTCTCTGTGTGCGGTGTGTGCGCTTTGTCAGACGCCAAACTACGACAACATCATTGTGGATAGGATGCTCGACTTTCTCAAGCGGCATCTGCTGCCCGACGCGGCACAGGACGGCCGCACCGCCACACGCGGCGTGTACGTGTCGGCATGATGCGATCGATGCATGGGGGCAGCGAGGAAGGACGGACGGACGGACACTGTTGATTTCATTTGTCTAGCGAGGTAGGAGGGAGGGGCGTGTGGGGCGGGGCGGGTAGGGTACGTAGTGAGTGAGGTATTTGTTGCAGCCAACTCAGTGATGATGACGATCGATATGCATGGGCAGAGGGTGGGGTGGCATCGCTATTAATGGGCTGGGCTGGGCTGGGCTGGTATGTATGTGATTTGTCATGTTTAATGCCTCCTAATTCGGGTGGCCTGGCCAGCGAGGGACATACAGTCGACCGACCTTGGCCCTGCATGTATTCCATGCACGTCAATGAACGAATCAATGGTCGGTCCGTGGAGGTGTTGTCTCTCGTTATTCAGAACCAATTCGACCAATAGAGCAGGGGCCGGCTCTTCGTAACATGGGCCAGCGATGCCGGCTTTGGCTTCAAGGGCCACTGCTGCTGCTGACAGCACACACCTAGCCAGAGACAGAAAACGATCACCCACACGCGCTTCGTGTTCTCTGAGTGCATTACACGTACACTTGCTGCACTGTCTCGGCGGCTGATCATCGTCGAATTCTGGCTGACTCGTATCGATGTCCTGGGGAAGAAGATGTTTGTAAAACGGCTCCGGCGGCTTGTCTGCCGCCACGGCAAACTCCTCGTCACCTCGGGGGGTCACGCGCAGCAGCAAACCAATCTGAAACACGACCAAAGGCGAGCAGATAGTTCAAGACGACATCTTTCTGGTATCTCACTTCTTCGTTTGTGTGGCGTCAGTGGGCATCTCCTGGAAGGTAATCTCGTCGCGGCCCATCAGCACCTTGACCCTCTCCCCACTTGTCTTGGCCAGCTCGAAACTCTTCACCACTTCATCATCTTCCTTCTCCTCCGTCTGCACGAATGGCGTATTCTCGCCCTTCCCAGCAGGTACTGCTGTGTCCAACAGTTCCTCCTGCGATTCCCGAAACCGCGAGACGCTCAGCTTGGGATGATACGCGCCTTTGGGTGTAGTGAATGTTGAGACAGCCGGGGAGCCCCTCATGTCGCTTCCTCGGTGGGCTGTCGTGGTCATGCGAGTTGGGGGAGGGCCGCGCTCGAAGGAGAGGGTCGTGTAGGCCGACAGCTGTGTGTCATAGGGCGGCGGCACTGCAGGCTCGAGGACGCCGGGGGATTCCATCACGCTATTGCTGCCTGGAGGGCTCCGCTCCTTCCTTTCTGCGTGCTCTTTCGCCGTGTCTCGAACCATAACAGGGCCTGTTGCTGAGGCGAACAGACGGGGGGCTGACCGTGACAGCTGCGAATCAATAATGAGAGGGCTTGGCTCGGCTGTGGGCGTGCTCCGCCTCCGCTGAATGACCTCCTCTGTTGCGATGTCAGCTGCCCCGGGCGAGTCGGCTGTCGGTCCGATTTCCACACGATGCACGACGACTTGCGTCGGGTCATCCGGTGCCGTTGCAACCACCAATGTGCTGACCTCATTCGCGTGCAATGCAGATGGTCGTGATGTAGAAAAGCCCTCTGTTACTGAGCGATGAGGCGGCTGGGTCTTCTCAAAAGTCGCAGAGGTTTCTCGCTTTGCGAAGATGGCTGACTTCGCTGCATGAAAGAGTTGCATGCTGCTATACCGAGTGGAGGGCTCGTGAGGAAAGGATGTGGCGTCGTAAGTTCCGCTGATGTTCCCTCTCAAGATCTGCCCCCAGCGCGGTGCGCGGGTTTTGGGGGCCAAAGGAGTGCGCCGCTCTTTTTCTGCCGTTGGAGTATGGCAGAGTCCACAAAAGCGTACGAACTACATCTGAGGCAAGGTGAGAACAACGCAGATCTGTCCGTCTTGGATCGTCTTGGTTGTGTCCATCCATCAATGCGTCCATCTGCGGTGCTTCAGAGGCCATTGAATGCCTGCGGCGGCACCACGAATTGGCTGAGCGCACCAAGCACTTCAGAGAACAGTTCATGGCGGCCCAGGAAGAAAGGTAGGACGAGGAAAACCATCGAACCTCATCTGATTTTGCCGCTGCTGTTCACTGTGTTCAGAGCCCGCCGCACCGCTACTCATCGCACCAACACGACAGCAGAGTCTGATGAAGCCGCCAGCCTCGCCGGACCTCACAAAGACGCCTCCCGTCCGCCTCGCAATCTTCGCATCTCGTCTGCGTCTATGGCCGTGAGCGGTGCTGCCCAGCTGCGCAGAGGGACACGAAAGCCACAGAGGACGCCCTCGGCCGGACTTGGGCAGACACGGCCATCGTCGATGACTCAAAGGGGCCGGCCGGCTCAAGCAGGAGGCGCACCACGAGGTCGGGGAAGGATCAACAGAGGCGGGGGGACGGATGATGGGGCCTCGAGGGCCGGGCGGCCTCGGCCACTTCTTGATCTGAAGGAGCAACAGGACAATCAGGAGGACGCCCGGCAGGCCCCCGACACGCCCACTTTTTCCAGCCCTCCCGACGGATCTGACAGGCCGCTTCAGCACAGCACCGTTGTGCTTTGTCTGCCGCCAAGGCCCCCCGGCGCTTCTCAGGTGGACGCCGGAGCTGCTGAGCCCCGTGAGAAGGCCCTCTTTGCGGCGCCATCCTTCGACAGGGGGTCAGGCGATGAGAGTGACGGAGCGATCTGGGTGGTGGCGATGGGGGCGGAGAGGGAGCAACAGCCCGAGGATGAGAAGAAAGGCGGCTCTGCATTACCCTTTGGGTCGGCGAAAGAAGACAGCAGCAGTCTGGCCAAGGCTGCGCGTGTCGCTGCCTCCCTCCGCCCCTCTGCGTCTGCCAGCGACCAGTGGGATGCGAGGGCCCCATCGGAGTCCAGGGTGTCAGCCGGCGTCAGGTCACCACCCCAGCAGATGGGCGTCGATCTGGAGGAACCGTCATTCGAGGCCGGCTCATCGTCCATGCACTCGGACATCACGTCGCCCCACCTGAAGAGCGCCACTTCACGCAGCCAGAAGGAGCCCGAGGAGGAGAGGATGGCGAGGGACGACACGGCTCCTTCTGCTCCATTTGCTGCACCATCGCCAGCTGCAGTGCAGGACCAGCCAAAGACACCTGGAAACAGGCGTGGGGCGACACGTATGGACGAGAGCCCCCCTGCTCTCCCACGCATCGCCGCTCCCCCCACAGAGGAATCGGTGGGGGAAGGGGATGACGGTGCTGACATGGACGACGGGGCATCCGTGCAGAGGAGCTGGACACCTATCAGCCAGCGAGTGTAAGCAAGACAAGTAAAGGGCAGCAGACACAGAGCAGCACCAGCACACACTCCATTCATGTCTCTTGTTCTTTTGGTCTATCGTGCAGGCCGCTCCGGTCGTTGACTTTGGACGAGAAGCTGTGTGAGCTGCAGGGCTCGATTGAAGCCTTGCAGCTGTCCCATCCGCCCTCCCCATCCAAGCCTCCCCCTCCCTCTCCACCCCCGCAGGGACAGGTGCCGCCCCTCCCCCTCTCCTCCATCCCCAAAGGCACCGACAGCCCCTCTCGCACTCGCCCGCGGTCGCCCCCATTTGAGGAGATCGACCCTGTGGGCTTCTCTCCTCCCGAGAGGGACAGACCCATCCCCAGCCACACTAACGCCGACCCCAGCCCGCCACCAATGCTGAGCAGTGCGAGCGTTGGTCTCGACGAGAGAAAGGGAGACACAGGGCCAGCCCCTGTCCCTGTGGCTGATGAGCAAGGGGAGGAGTCTGCAGCGGCTATGTTGAGGGCAAGCCAAGACAACGAAGAGGCAACCAGGGGTCTGGAAGAGGAGAACGAGAAGCTTAAGGGCCTGCTGGTCCGATCGGAGGGCACATTGGCCAGGTATCATTCGCTGAGTGAGAGTCTGCTGGGCGAGCTGACCCAGGAGCTGGCGCAGCAGGAGGAGTATGTGCGTGAGGTGCGTGAGAGGGAGGAGCAAGGCCGGGCGGCATTGGAGGCGGTGGGCAGTGGGGGAGGGCTGGAGAGGGTGGAGGCCGAGCTGGCATCCCTCAGGCTGCAGATGCAGCTGCAGGTCTGTCTGTTCGGTCGACGCTGACCGATCCACAAAGTGTCTGTCTATGACTTATTTGCGCCTCTCTGTGTGCATTGCATTGCAGGAGCAAGAGCGGGAAGAGATCGAGAACAGACTACGAGAGGAAACCGAGGCGCGTGAAAAATGGGTAAGTGCCGGGAGACAGACACCCTCTGACTGACGTTAATCTGAGTGTCTGTCTCCTGGGTGCAGGAGCGTGGTGAGGCCTATCTGCAAGGCTCACTGGAGGCGAGCGAGAAGGCCAGGGAGGCCCTGCAGTCTGACCTCAGCCGCACCTCGCTGGCCCTCGAGCAGGTCAGGCAGCGCCGCCTGTCGCGCCGTGCAGCATCGCGCGAGGCACCGCTGAAAGAGCTCAAAGTCCTCATGAAAGGAACCGCCCTCACCAAGGTATGCTGGCTGGCATGGCTGTGTGGAACGGCCAACCAAGGGAAAGCATCCCGGCTGATGATGGTCGTGTATTCCCTCCAGGTCACGTCGAAGGCCCCTCATCGCTGTCGTGAGCAGTTCGCATGGCTGCAGTGCGATGGCGACCGGCGCGAGTGGCGCCTTTGCTGGCGGAGGGACACAGCCAAGCCCCAGACGCCATCGGCGACGAGGCAGCAGAAGCACAAGTCCGTCTCCCTCTCGACCGTCCAGGCGCTGATCTTCGGCCTGCAAGCCAACCCATGCCTGTGGCGCGTGCTGCCGTCCGCCATCCCGCCCTACTGCGCCTTCTCCCTCCTCACGCCCACACGCTCCTACGACTTTTTCACCGCTGACGAGCAGACGGCCGAGGTCTGGGTGCTCGGGACGTCCAAGCTCCTCTGCACCCTGTCACCATACCCACACTCATCCTTGGCCCACGCGTCGCGGCATCAGTTCCTGCTAGAGAGGGCGAGCATGAAGATCGACATGGCTGCGGGGGGCAGCAGCCGGTCGTTCCGCCGCTCCCTGTTGCTCGATGCTGTACGCAAGGCGGCGGCTGAGAGTCCCCCTGCATCAGGCCTTCAGCAAGGCGAGAGGCCACCACCGACAGTGGCGTCACAAGAGGGTGGAGACGCCGCTCTGGATAGCCCACCCGTCGGGCGGCAGTGGCATACGAGCGTCGCCGTCAAGACCGAGCGGCCGTCGCCTGCGCCATCTGCCAGCCAGTCTGCAAGTGGTGGCGTGTCAGACGGCCACCCATCCCACGGTTGCGGGGCTGACCTCACACCCACTGCGTCCAATGTGCCGTTTCCGGAGGGCGGCGGCGGTGCCAAGCGGCAGATATCGGGGGACGGGCGTCGTATGGAGGAGACGCTGAGTAGCGGGTCGAGTCGGGAGGAGCGGGGGCAGGGTTCAAGGGTGGCGGCGGCTGGGAAGGAGAAGGTTCACACGCTCAAGACCATCTGTCTCAGTGTGACTGTGCTGCTGGTGCGTCCGACACGAGAGAGAGAGAGAGAGTGCATGGTGGAAGAATGATCTCTTCGTCGACGTGTTCTGTCAGGCTGTAGTGTGGGCGTGGGGTTTTGACACCTTCATCGACATGATGGGCGGCACATCCAGCCCAAAGGTGAACGACCGCAGTGCATCCATCCCCCTCTCAGCAACTAACTGACTGATCTTAATCGATTGCAGGAGTCTGCCCGATTGCGTGGTCTTCATGCCGGTGTGTGGTGTGTCTTGAGCTGCCTTTCGCCGTTCCTGCCCCTCTCGTGGGCCTGGCCATGGACACTCATGACATCACCCCCTACCGCACTAGCCCTCATTGATGCGATTGGCGCTGTCAAGGAAAGACGGAGAGAAAAACACTTCAAAGGGACGATGCGCCGCGATCACTGTTCGTCATTTTTGTTCAGGTGTGGCTGGTAGCTCACTGGCACAGCCCCTGGCTGACCATCGCCCTAGTCGCCTTCATCTTCGCCGCCGCGTCCGTTCTCATCCTCATCTACCGGGCCTTCCTGGCCCTCCTGCCCCTCTGCCCATCCATCCCCATCCCCCCACCAAAGCGCATCATTGGCCAATCCTGCCCAAGGAGAGCACTCCGCAAGGCCACATACGACTACCGCCCAGAGGAGGAGGCATTCGAGAGCGGCCCGTCGGTGGTGGTGGTGGATGGCCTGACAGAGACGGATGGTGCGACAGAGACCAACCCCGACGTGGATGGGAACGAGCACCATGCCAGTCAGGGTGGGGGCAGCAGGAGCGCCAGGAGGAGGACAGGCATTGGGGCCATGTCGGCGTCCACTGGGGTTGCATGGCGGGCCGCCACCTTTGTGAGCGGAGCCGTGTCGGCCTTCTTTGTTGCCATGGTAAGCATAGCATGTGGCAAACAACCCCTGCATACATCACATCAACAAACACCGATACACGCCTGGCCGTCTCTGCATTCGCTCGTTCTCATTACATGTAGGCGATTCGCAGTGCTGTGTTGGGTGTGAGCTCCTTCCATCATGGCGACGACGACTGGGCGGGCATCTTCTCGTCTATGTCCCACCTGTCCACCCCCACCCCGCTGCGATGCGAGCCAGACTCCTTCTACATCTGGATGCACCTCGTCTATGCCGTCGGCGCGGCCGTACCGGCACTCGTAATCGACTTCGCCCTGCTCTACCTCTGCCAGCAGCGAGCCGAGAACAGACAGCAGCCCCCGCCACGCCGATATACCTTCCAGCTGGGGCTGCGGGGCATCTTTCTGGACCTGCTGACCCCCCTGGTGGCTTTGCTGCCTTCATGGGGCCTGCTCACATGGTCCTGCTGCTGCGAGACTGAGAACGGTGGGACAGTGTGTCTGCTGGCAGAGGTGGTCAATTTCGTTGAGCCGGGGCGGTACTACCCTCTCGTCAACGCAGCCATCCTCTGCTGCCTGGTGCTCGCACTGTGGGGGTGTCTCTGTGTCGCATTCTCGGTCATCAACCGGAAGCAGCCCCCGCCCTCACCCAAATCCGCCTCACACAGCGCCAGGTCGGCGGCACCCAAACCACTTAAGCTGCCCAACGGCGGCAAGGCCTCAGCAGGCAAGAAATACGCGGCCACCACAGCCAGCCCGTCTGTGGTGTTGCGTGAGCCGGAGCTGATGGAGGCGGCCAGACTGGCATCCTTCGGCTCGGCATCACTCACGGCAGCCGATAAGGGCCGGCCGCCACGCGCGAGGGGCGGCAAACCTCTGATTCCCAAGCCAGCACGGGCCAAGAAGACGACCAAGCGCGGCGGAAGAGGCATATCTTTGGGGTGGAGGTGCCACCCCTCGCTGGAGAGCCGCATGAAGGGCGGCCCGCAGGACCATGGGACGGACATCGAGCAGCGTGGCCAGTGGCTGCTGACGGCTGCTGTGGCGCTGGGTGTGGGCGCGTCCGTGGGGCTGGTGGTGGTGGAGGTGTGCGAGATCGCTTTGCCGCAGGTAGTGGTGTGGACGGGGTGGCATGGGCATGAGGGCGGCTGGGTGAGGGTGGGGTTCGTGGGCGTGCTGTGGGCTTTGCTGGCGCCCATCAATGTGTTTGTGATAACTAAGCTGGCGAGTGGCTGAGCGGAGTGAGGCAGAGACACTCAGTGTAGACGTGTGCGTGTGAGACAACGGGGTCAAGAAACGCTGTGGTCAATGGTTTCCTCGTGTTGTGCACATGGTCCTCGGTCCGCACGATATGTGACGTGGAAGAAATCCTCCGCATGCAAAAAGGGAGGTGGGGGCGAGAAACTCGCCCCCCAGTTCGTCTCAAGCTCGCAAATGTTGACAACTGATTTTCCTTTCTACTTCCCCCCCCAACACACAAGCGTGGTGAATGAGGTGCTCTCGCGCAGCCATGTGACCCCTTTTCTTTTGCTTCATCTGTCCCATCTGGCGATGACAAACTCGAGACTCTGTCAGAACAACAGCTGACGGGGAGGTCAGCAGACAGATCCCCACCCACCGTCTGTTAACATCTTATGGGCACTTGCTCAAGCGTCCCTGATGCGCCCATCGAGGTGGGTGCTCAGGGCAAGGTCCGGCTGCGAGACGTCTTTGAAGAAACCCGCCACGTCGCCGTCTTCCGAGGCAAGGTTGAGCAATCCGGCGACCCTGTGGCCCTGCGGAGTGTCCAGATCGTTCCACAGCAGCCGACGGATGGCCATGATGGTAAGAGGGAGGGCAGGAGGCGGCTGGAGGCATCGGCCGCTGAGATGGAGGTGGTGCGGGTCATTGAGGCCAAGGGCGGGAAGGGGAGTCTGGGAGTGTGTGGCGGTCGGGTGGACGCCCTGCCTGACGGAGGAGTGCGTGCTGTCACGCTCTTCGCCTACTGGCCCGTCGGCACACTCAAACAGGTAGGAACACACAACAAGCAGAGTGACAACCGGCCGTTGGCTGGGACGGTGACCGTGTGTTGTGTTGTGCTCGTTCGTTCAGTGTTTGGAGCGGAGTGATGGTCCGTTTCGCTGGGTGATGGGTCTGACGCCGCCAACTCGTCGCGCTGGGGAGGCCGTAACCAGGCCCTACCTGCACGAAGATGATGTCACGCGGCTCTTTGCCCACATTTGCGACGCTGTCGACTTCCTCCACACACAGGTGCAGTGCAGTGCACAGCAAAGGCAAACCCCTCCCTCTCTCTGCTCTCTGTGTAGTCGCATCGCATCATCCTCCGTGTGGTGTGTGTCTTCAGGACATCTGCATGGGCCGTCTGTCACTGAGCGATGTGTGGCTGGACACCGATGGCACCCCTCGCCTCAAGACCTTCACCAGGGCAGCACGCATGCCGCCGGACGGCTCACCCTCATTCTACCGACCCAGGCATTCCGTCTCTCGCGGGGCGCACATGCGCAGACGGCCAACCGATCGGATGAAGCGCATGAAGCGTGCTGCAAGCGGTGGGGGTGAGAGGGGGAGTGGTGGTGCGGTCAGGGGTGGCGAGATCGAGATGGAGGAGATGCACCACGGGCTGCTGAAGAAGCGGGCGGGAGTGGTGGGGGTGGAGGCACAGGTGGAGAGTGACGAGAGGGCTGCAGCGGCCACCAAGGCCACCTACTACGACTATTTTAGAAGGTGAGTGAATGAGCATAAATACGTCGACGGAGGAAGCGTGCTGGCTGTGACGGTTGTGGGCGTTTGTTTGCTGTGTGTGTATGACACACACAGGTGTGGATTGCCAGAAGTTTCTCGCGAGGATGGCGTCTCTCGTGACCTCTCACAGCTGACCTGTCTCATGTATGACGTCTGCTTCAAGAAGGCACTCGCACACGAGCCCGCACACGACAAGAGGACAAACAAGAAGCCCTCAGCCGCACAGCCAACAGCGAAGGAGAGGTCACTTCGCACCAGGACAATGACAAGCGGAAGGAAGCGCTGTCTGCAATCTTCTCCGTGTGTGTGTGTGTGTGAGTGCAGGCAGAGGCATGGTTGTATCATCCCGGAGAGCTCCCCCTCATCGCACGACTCGTCGCTCAAGGACACCTCCTTCGCCCGCCTCCGCATCCCCCCGTCGTCCCTCTACTCCCAGGCCCTGCACGACCTCCTCAGATCCCTCACACACCCACTGCCCACACGCAGACCGGCACTACCAGAGATCAGAGCGCACCTGGCCCACCTGCGGGAGCGCCGCAGCAGCAGCACCACCATCCCCCTGCCGTCCTCATCCAAGTCGGTGCCCATCCGCATGCCGTCCGACGATTCTGACACAGCCATGTCGTTCGACTGGATCACCCGCAACATCTCTGTCAGCTCCCAGACGGCCACGGCCAACCCTTTGGCGTGGGAGGACGACTCCAGCCCAGTGAGGCGGGCGCCGAGGTGGCGCACAGAGCAGGACCTCAGTCTGCCACCCCTGCCGGCAGCTCACCGTCTGCGGCGGTGTCACTCTTCGGCGCTGACCATCCGGTCTCCGCATAAGTATGTGCGGGATGAGCTCAAGTTCAATGGCTCGGTCATGGACGAGGCCATCAGTGGCACTTGTGGCTGGGGTGGGAGGCTCCGGCGGCCGGCAGGGGTGGAGACCGACCCAGCGCCGGTCACCACTGACGACACCGGTAATGAGTCTCCCCTGCACGAGTCGTCTCCCCAGCACAAAGAGGTGGCCGATGTCGCTGTGGATGTTGAGAGGCAAGTGGATTCGTCTGCTGTTGCCGGTGGCGTGAGGGGTGTTCAAGAGGAGAAGCAGGTGACAGAGGACGGTTGGGGCTGCAGCTTCGCGTGGCGACCGGAGTGCAGCAGCGACACGAGTAGTGAGGAGAGCGAGGCGCAGGTCGAGGGGGACAAGCCCATGGTGGCCTCCATGCAGCTGCGATCGGTCGCCAAAGCCACAGAGAGGTACGCGACACAGCGCACGAGCCACACATCGACGAGACGCTTTGGCTCGCATTGTGTGTACCCTGTTGTGTCCCTTGTTGTCAGTTGCGTGTCTGCTGCGGATTTAGTGGCCCTCCAGCGTATTGTGCTGGACTTGTGGACGATGCCAAACGGCACCGCCCACCTGGCCAAATGCATCGAGGTACCTGAGAGAGAACAAAACAGCACAAGACACCGACACAACACACTGACGGCACGGCTAAATTGTGCGCCTGTGTCGTGTCTGATTCCATGTAGGAGCGCCCCGTGCTCACCGACCGTGTGGTGGCCTTCAAGGCGCTGATAGTGCTGCACCGTGCCATGCAGCAGGGGCCCACCACCATCACCGCCCAGCCGTCCATCAGAGAGCTGCTCCAGAAGCTGCACTCAGCTTGGCTCCCGCAGAAGGGCTTGCGCGACGAGAAGCGCAAGAAGGACGTCCTCGAGGGTGACGGCTATGACACTGACGATGATGACGACACGTCGGCCGTGTCGCTGGCGGCCATGACCGACTACTGTGAGTTGCTGCTGCTGAAGATGACCACACACCAGAAGGGGCCGCACTTCTTCCAAGGTCAGCCGGACACATCAATCAGAGAGGAGAGGGCCTGTCATGGTCATGGTCCGTCCATGTTAACTAACGTGAATGTGCTGTGTGTGTCTGTAGGAAACTGGTCGTTGGAGCACTACCTGTCACGTTACGATCTGGACCTCGATCGTGCGGCCGAGCTGGAACCCGACTCATCGCCTGTCACGCCATCAATGGTCGACAGCCTCCTGCACTTCGCCAAACCCGTGTACGCGCTCACGGCCTTCCTGCTGCAGTGCCTGCCGATGGAGCCGGTATCGCCCTCCGCCTCCCCCTCCACCGCCCTGCTCATCAGCGCGCTGCAGCCGCTGCTTGACGAGCTGCAGGGGCTTCTGGGCACCGTCACACACCTTGCCGGCGCGCTAGTGCTCAAGTACCATGCGCAGAGCCGCGGCAAGGATGGTTGTGGCTGTGGTGGTGGGGAAGAGGAAGGGGAAAAGGGACAGAGAGAGGTGAGGCGGCGTGAGCTTGCGGAGGGGCTGACGGGGCTGAGAGGCAAGTATGTGGAGTTCGTCACTGTACTCCACAACATCACAGGTACGTTGGGTTGGGTGGTGGGACGGTACCTGACCTGCCATGGATGGATTCTTGTATGTATGTGTGTGTGCCTGTCAGGTTTGCTGTCGTCTCTGCGGCCGCTGTACCCGGGCCTGTATCGTCTCGACCCGCCCCCTCCTCTGCTTGTCGACCTCTTCGACGGCCTCCCTCCGTTTAACAGCAGTGGCACCGACTCCACACGCACCGGCAACTACTCGTCCGCAGAGTCCAACCCAACCACGCCGACCACCCCCACACCCCCACCTCAGCAACAGCCACAGCCACAGGAACAGCATCCGGCATTCGAGCCATCCATCGACCTCCCGCCAAAGCTCACACGAGTGCTTGAGAGCGTGGCGGCGGTGCAGCTGCCGGGCAGCCCCGAGCCTGACCCGTTTCTGTGTCAGAGCCACCCGTGTCAGCCTCTGCTGCTGAGGAGGCAGAGAAAGCGAGACGACGATGGGGGGTCGCCCGTGTCGTCGTGCGGGTCAGGGTCACCTGCAGGGTGGACGCAATTCGGTTCACACCAGGAGAGGACCCCGTCCCCCTTCCTCACCCCTCTCAAGGAGCAGCAAGATGGTGGCCAGCCCCGGCCGACTCATGTGCCCTTCCTGGCTGAAGGCGCCACAGACATGGGGTGGCCGAGTGACTTTGGGGCGGTGGCGGACCTCCCGCATTACAACATCAATGCGCCGGATTGGGTGGCTGACTGGACTCCCAGTGAGGACAGCAGCCAGGAAGAGGGAGAGGGGGAAGGAGAGGATGGTGAGCAGAAGGGCGACGAGAGGCGCGAGCAGCTCAGCGAGAGCGGGCGTTCGTCGCTGGACTTCTGCCCCTTCGAGTCAGAGCGTGACAGCGACGACGAAGGGCCTGAGGAGGAACTGCAAGAGAGCCAGCCTGCTCCTCCTGCCGCCGTCACCGCTGAAGTGGACGACGATGAGTTCAAGGACGTGCAGGAGGCAGACGAGCTATCGTCAGCATCGCCGCCGCCACAACCGGCATCTCCCGGCTCGCCCGAGCCCTCGAAGCCCTTCCAAGATGCCTTCGAGACGTCTTGTGCCCTCAAGCTGCTGGACGAGTCGTTCGAGACCTTCATGCACCGGCAGGGCAGCATGCAGGGGTCGGACATCAGCGCGGCAACAGTATCAGACGACAAAAGAAGCCTCGGCAAACAGCAGTCGGCCGAGCTGAAGGATGCCGTCGCCAAGCTGATCGACGACGATGACGAGCTGCTGCTCGCCTCCACATCAGCGCGATTCCCCCCCTCGCCCCCTCCGCCTCCCGTCACACCACCTGAGCCATCATCTCCACCCGCAGCGCCCCCATCCAGCCCGCCGACACCCGTTGGCAGAGATGGGACTGGGGAGGGCGTCAAGATCCTGCCCGGCAGACCGCTGCATATGCGGGTGGCGAGGAGGCGGAGCGACAAGCGCACCATCCCCGTGGCGTGTGTGGACCTCTTCTCGCCCCTCCCCGCGCCCCGCAAACCACCAAGTCGGTCGACTGACAAGACCGGTCCACTCAGCGCTCCTGGCGCCATCACACACATGCAGCACAACCAGACGGAGTCGTCACCGAAGGCCGCCGACAACCAACCCATCAGCGATGCATCCAAGGCCCCACCACAGGAGCCAGCGAGGAGCCTCACCCCTCCCCCATCAGCCGTCACTGGCGGCCGCAATCCGTTCGATCTCAACACGAATGAGCTGCACAGGGCGGTGGTGGCCGAGAACGAGGCCCGGTCGGCGTATTTGGGCGGCCGCGAGCCGCGGATGGGGTGGCAGGGTCGGGCCAAGCGTGAGCATGAAGGCATGGAGTTCATCAAACCCAACTTCAGACCACCAGCACCGCCCGCCCGGCCGTCACACCCGTCGCATGAAGCGGTGTCCGGCCCTCCGTCCAATCAGTCGTCCAAGGCAATGGAGAGGAGCCGCCATGGGGACACGGACAGACAGCCACAGCCACAGCCGCCTGCAAGCCCCTCCCCCCCTCACACCCCTCCCGCTGCTGCCACACCACCCACGCCGACAGAGTGGGTGCGTTTCCAGGACACCCAGCCCTCTTCCTCCTCCAACGACCAGTCCCAGGCCAGCATCGACCGGTCCAGAGCCCTGCAGGAGCTAGACGCCACGCTCCAGACGGTCGCCAGGAAGAGAGCACACAAACGGAGAGATCGAGACAGGGAAAGGGACAGGGAGCGGCATCCCGCCGGCAAGGCGGCGAGGGATAGGGACAGCCCCAGTGAGTCTAGCGACGGGGCCCCCACGGCCGAGTGGGAGGTGCCGCCGCACGAGCTCACCTTCGGCGAGCGCGTGGGCAGCGGAGCGACGAGCGAGGTCTACCGAGGCATGTGGCGCGGCACAGAGGTGGCCATCAAGCGGCTCAGCACTTTCCTGTCACTGGACGACCTGCGGCGGATGGCAGAGGGGGGCGGCGGCCAGCAGAGGGCGCTGCAGGAGTTCCTGCGGGAGCTGCAGATCATGCGGCGATTGCGGCATCCCAACCTGGTGCTGTTCATGGGCATGGTCACCAAGCGGCCGCCCCTGTGTGTCATCACCGAGTACTGTGCCGGCGGGACACTGTTCGACCTGCTGCACAACCACCCCAACACCACTCTCTCGTGGCAGCAGAAGCTCAAGATCGCCATCGACGTTGCAAAGGTGAGCGAGCTGAGGGGGAGAGGAGAGGACACGAGCGTTGCGTTGAACGTCCGATTCATTCTCACTGTGTCTGTTGCCCCCCGTGTGTGTGCCTCAATCAATCAGGGGATGACCTTCCTGCACACGTGCAATCCGCCGATCGTCCACAGGGACCTCAAGTCCCTCAACCTCCTGCTGTCCGAGCAGCTCGTCTCCCCCAGCGACCTGCCGACCGTCAAGGTCAGCGACTTCGGCCTCTCCCGCCTCTTCGGCGCGCCATCCTTCCCCGCCGCCACGAGCAAGAACGCCGTCATGACGGGCGCCGCGGGTACCTACCACTGGATGGCGCCAGAGGTGCTGGAGGGGCGGCCCTACGGCGCGGCGGTGGATGTCTTCTCGTACGGCATCGTGCTCTATGAGCTGTTCGCGCGTCGGATTCCTTACGAGGAGTTGGGGCTACCGCCGGTGGGGGTGGGGCTGGCCGTGGCAAAGGGCAGACGGCCGGACCTCAGACTCATCGGCAGGGACTGCCCACACGAGATGCGGTGAGTGAGTGATACAGATCAGATAGACACACAGACACGCATCGCATCGCATCGCATGGCGTGAAGGAGGACACGACACATGTATGCACATACGTCGCTGCGTGTGCGTGTGTGTCACTGTACTGTCAGGCGGTTGATGGAGCTGTGTTGGGCGCACGAACCATCGCAGCGGCCATCCTTCGAGCGCATCCTCGCCCACCTCCGCGACATGCGCAACGCACCCGTTCCCTCGCCAGCTCCAGCCCCCTGCGGCCCGGCATTCGGCTATGGCTACGGGCCCCAGCCGCCCCAAGTGGTCCAGGGGGTCGACTACCAGGGCAGAGGGGCGCGTGCAGTGATCCCCCAGCACCAGCAGGGCTTCTGGCCTATCATGAACCAGGGCCCGGTGCAGGGGCGTTATTTTTAGTGTGGGGGGGTGTGGCTTGACTGACCCTTCATGATTCGCGGACCGGACGACATGAGGGTGTGGGGAGGGAGGGGGCAATTACGTGTGTGTATTTGTGTTGTGTAGACCAGGCAGGCAGACAGATTAAGGACGGCTTTCCTGCTCTGTGAGGAAGGAAAAGAAGAAGGAAGAGGACAGGTTGCTCCCGTGCACGGACTATATATTATATGTGGTTGGTGGGTTGCGTGAGGTGTGCACTGCACGGTTTGTTTTATTCGGGGGCTTTTGTCTGTACAGATGTGATGTGTGTATGCGATGCGGACAGCCTGTCTGTCTGTCTCTATTTATGTACGTTTCTCGTGTGTGTGCACGCACGACTGCATAGGTGAGGTGGAAGGGGTGCGTGTTGCCCTCGGAAGAAAGTGATTTTTCGTGTCCTACACGTCACCGTCACATGTTTTCGCTCTGTTTCGTGTTGCACTGGCCGCCTCCCTCGGGCCTCTGTTGAGCTCTGGTGTTGAAGCCGGCATCGACAACGCATCGCCGCATTGTCAAGGCAAGCTTCAACAGCACAGCATGACAGATCTCGGCAGCGCGGCCTCGCAACTGGTGGTGACAAATCAGACGTGGTCCTTCTCTATCCTGATGATCTATCCTGATTGATTGGGCTCATTGCAAACCAGTGCATGCAACTGCAAGTGACCGTCCTGCGTGACTCTGTGCCCTTTATGATTCATGAATTTATCCTTCATAGAGGCACACATTCCTCCTCTTTTCAAGATCAAGCGCGCAATGGAGATGCGCGGATCGGATCGTTCGTGCCGCCATCGTCTTCACCGTAGCTCGTTCATTAAATGTCTGCACGCCTTCCTGCTGGGTATCGCGAGAGGCTTTCTGAGCCCGTTTAGTAGACTTGTCGCTGCGCTGCTCTGTATGACACACAATTGAAAGAATTGAGCCGATCTGGCTGGCGGGACCGACAGAGCGGCATTCTGGACCTATGCGGCGCAATGACGACAACCTTCTGCGGCGTCTCTTCATCGGGCAGACCCAGATCTGGTGATCCGCTGCCCCGCATTCATCGCAGATCTCTTATCACCGATGTCATCTGTGCTTCACATCTGACGGCGGTGTGGCGCTGTCTGTAAGTCAGCCGTAGCGAGATCTGCCAGAGAGAGACGATGGCGAGTCAGCCCACCCATCCTGCTGACAGCTCACCATCGTCAGCTGAGGACGGCTATCGGGCTCTGGCAGCCATCGTGCAGGCGGCCTCGGCGACTCATGCGTCGTCGTCACATGCTGCCGGCGTGGCCGCATCAGCCTTGGAGATGTATCAGGACAACCACTCATCTGTTTCTATCCAGCCGCTTCAGTCGGGCTCTTACACATCTGCTAGTGGTGCCGCGGCGACTTTCCAAGCCAATCCTGGGGCCACCACCACGCCAGCAATGCAGGCGGCCTCGTCGGCTCCTGGTCCGTCTTCGGATGGCGCACCAGCACTGGGCATGTATCAACACAACCATCCGTCTGTTGATCCCACTGCCGCGCCCCATCAGACGGATCCAGTGGAGAGGCACCAGTATGGCTATCCGTCTGTTCCCCCTGAGGCGCCTCATCCATACTCAGAGCGCGCTGCACAGCGGCTGGTTGCTGGACCTCAGTCGCATGCGGCATCTGCAAGCCAGTCGTGTCAAGCCCATACCGGCAGGGCTGCAGCTGGGGAAGACGAGCGAGAGGGAAGCTCTGGAGCCAACAACACAGCATCTCGCGTGCGGGAGAACAAGCATGCGCCAGCACTCTCTCCACCTGGTGCCTCCCACTCTGGCCATCCCACTGCACACACTCCACCCGCCCCTCCCTCGCAGCCTGGGGACCTTCTCAACTCACTGCGGGAGATGCTGCAGAAGCGTGGCGACCCCAGCAACCAGGGCATGTACCATGCGGCCTACCAAGGGGTTGACTTCAACGTGTATGGTGTCGATGCCTCTTGCGGCCTGTGCGGTGTGACGGCGGGGCCGTTGCATGACGGTGAGGGGCAGGAGCTGTATGTGAGGCTCCCCTTCGTTCGTCAAGATGCTGACAAGGGGTGGCGGCTGGGGGCTGTGACGCGTTTGCTGAAGCGCGCGAGGCAGGGAGGGGACCTCAGGGAGGATGAGCCGTTTGAAGTGGTCGTGGGCCATCATGAGGGCAGGGCGAGACGGTTCCTGCAGTCCCGGCCAATGCCACCTGGCCCCACAGAACCAGGTGAGAAGAAGGCAAGCACACCACGCCACATCGCCTGATAAATCCTACCGCCTCGATTGGCTGTGTTGTGGTGGCAGGTTCGTTCTCTGAGCAGTTCCTCGCCGTCCCTCCCCCGCCGAGGTTTCTGGAGCACGGGAAGCGTCACTCTGCGGGCGCGTCATCGGGACCTCTGGCAGTTGTGGGACCGCTGCAGGCGACTGACGCTCTGACGCACCGGGCCCCCGCCCCACACAGCCTGCACCTCACCCAACACCACCAGTCGTCTCTACCGAATCAGCCGTACCACTCGGCCTCGGGGCGCCTCGGACAGCAGTTGGATGCCGGCTCCCAATCGCATGTTGATCCATCGGCAAGTCAGCCGTGTGTGGGTCAGGGTAGTGCAGCAGCGGCTGCCCAAGACGACAAGCGCAAGCCAGCCTGTGCACAGACGACAGACGACCAGCCCTACCCACCCCCCGCAGACTCACCAGCTCCACCACCAGCAGCACACGGCAACACCAGCACAGCAGGACAGCACGTGTCGTCGGCCCATCACCATCACGAGCCACGCGATCCGAAGAGCAAAGATGTCGGCGGGTCACGTGAGCGCGAGGGGCCTCTTGCACCCTCCCACAGCAGGGAGCGGACGTCAAGCCGCCGGCCGATCCCCTTGGCGGATGTGTTGCTCAACAAGGGCATCCCCGGCCACCGCAAGTACTCGGCTGAGTATGAGGGTGTGCAGTTCAGTGTGGCCGGCGAGGGCGACGGGCTGCCGTATGTGGTGACGGCATGGTGGGGGGAGGGGGGAGGGACCGACCGGCCGCCGGTGTGGGTGCGAGCGGTTGTCGCTCGTGACGATGTGGTGAGGGGATGGGACACGAGTATGCTGAGCGACCTGCTGGTGGCCGTCCGCAACGGCACAGCAGACACTGACGATCGGTTCGAGAGCGTGTCGGATGTCATCGATGGCGTCGAGCGGACCCTCATACAGTGGAAACCTGCAAGTAAGACCGGCGGGGGAGGAAGACACTTGAGGGCATGATGCAGATCGTTGTGTGCGTGCTGTTGTGCGTGCAGGGGAGAGCAGCTTCCCTGGCCGCGCCAACGATGCGCCGCCCGCCGATGCAGCCTACCACTCGTACACGCCCCCTGTCGCTGGTGGGGCGGCTGATGCATCTCACGACGGACCACACGACGACAAATGTACGCACGTTGGATGCGACAAGAGCCGCACTCGAATAATCGACCGGCGCCCATCCACTGACTGTGGCTCTCTGTATTGTTTTTCTCAGGTCTGTCAGCCAAGAAGGCGTCACGCAGGAAGCCTCGTGACGGTCACAAGCCACGATCCACTGCGAGAGCGGGGGAAGTGACGCAGCCGGCACGCCCCACCATCGAGGAGGCCGTCGACCGCAGCCCGTCCCTGGAGCATCGCCTCACACGTCCACTCGGCAGGAGCCCCCCAGCGGATGAGCAGCCCAACACCAGCGAGGGCATGTATCAGTCGAATGTGCGCGGCGTCCACTGGCGTCCTTACGATGGGGTCTGGCAGGTGTCGTGGTACGAGAAGAGCGGTCGCAAGTTCAAGCACTTCTCGGCCAAAGAGCACGGCGTCCACAAAGCAAAGGTATTGACTGACAACAAGATCGCCAGCGGCGCTTGTCAAGCTCTTCTCCTGTGTGTCATCTGCGTCAGGCGTTGGCCGAGCGGCATCGTCAGGAGATGGAGCGCACTGGCCAGGCGTCGATGCAAAAGCGATCGGAGCACCAGAGCGGCGTGAGGGGCGTCCACTACAACAAGGGAGCCAACGCATGGGAAGCCAGCTGGAGTGAGGGCGGCAAGCGAAAGTTCAAGTCCTTCTCCGTCAAAGAGCTGGGCTACGAGGAGGCCAAACAGGCCGCCATATCCCACAGACGTGCCATGGAGCTGAGGCACCACACATCAGAGGGCGAGGCCATGAGGGATGACGGTCAGGGTGGTCGCGACGCTGGCAGTGGTCCCACGCCCCCCCGCTTGTCATCACGAGAGGGCCGTCGAGGCGCCGAGGTGGACATGGGAGGGCTGGAAGGTGGCGGCATGACGGGTGATGCGTTGGCACGTGGCCTGTTACGGCGCTTGCATGAGGAGCAGCCAAATCTATACTCACTCTGCCTCGGCAACGGAGGGTAAGCGAGAACGACTCCCACGAGGAACGGACAGATGCGATAGGGTGTTTCTCCCTTTGTGTCTTGTGTGTGTGTCAGTATCGGCATCACGTGGCGCGCGACGTACGTCTTCGAGAGCTACTTCTGGGACGGCCAGGCTGCAACCAGTGTCGACCCCCGCCAGTTCAGTGCGGGTCAGAACGTCACTTCCCGTGCTGCCATCTTCACGGCCTTCCGACGAGCCGTCGAGTATCGCAATACACTCCACGAGTCACGTCTGGGCGACCAGGCGGTTCTCATCGACCTGTCATGGCTCGAGGAAGCTACGAGGGAGGCAGCAGGGGATGATAACCGACCTCTCGAGCGCCACGGCCGCGGAGCGAGGCGCATGTCCATGCCGCCACCCCTACTGCTTGACGACCGTGACATCCACCCACTCGACGGCCATGACCGCATCCCGCCCCCCATTCAGGCTCAGCGCCGCAGGGGCAGGCCGTCACATAGGGTGGTCGGCTCGGACGGTTATGCGGGCGAGATGCCCATCGATCGACCAGGTCGCGACCAGTCGGGCGGCGGGAGGGACCGGTTTGTGTGGCCCAGGCTGAGTGAAGGGGCTGGCCATGCCCTGGCGGAGCGGCTGGTGAGCGACGCACGACAGCAGGTCGGGAACACCAAGGACAATACCGGCAGGTGGGCCGAAAGCATGGACATTGGAATGAATCAGTCACATTTTCATTTTTTGTTCTATCCAGTGTTGGTCTCGAGTGGCATGCTGAGGAGGCGAGTTTCGTGGCCTATCGACCAGAGGGCGGAGAAGGGCCCGGGCAGCGTGTCTTTCGTGTGTCTGACATCACCTCATCCCGGCTCATTCTGCGTGCCTTCACCCAAGCAGCGCAGCATTGCAACGCCATGGCGGACTCCGGGGCAATCATGATCGACATGCGGCGGATCAACCTGCAACCAGACTCGACTGCTGGTGCGGCGTCCGGGCGGTCGATGCATTATGACAATGGCGCGTCGGATGTGAACGGCATTGGTGATGACGACATGGATCGGCGGGGCGACGTCTCCTCGTCCGACGGACAGCCGAGGCGTAAGGCTGCCAAGGGCAACCAAAGGACCGTTGTCCCGAGGGCTCAGCATCAGTCAGCCGTGAGTGGCGTTTACTGGTCTGAACAGCATCAGGCGTGGATAGCGAAGTGGTACGAGAAGAGCAGCGGCAACGAGGAGCGCAAGACCTTCTATGTCAAGGAGCATGGCTTTGACAAAGCAAAGGTACCGACTTCGCATCGCAGCACCCTGCCTCCATCTCATCCTCTTTTTTTTCTCACGTGTGCGTCAGGCGTTGGCCGAGCAGCATCGTCTCGAGATGGAGCGCAGCGGTCGGGCGGCAATCAAGCAGAGATCTGAGCACCAGAGCGGTGTCAAATGCGTCACCTACAACAAGACCAGTAACTCATGGGAAGCCCGCTGGAAGGCGAACGGCAAAGAGAAGACCAAGTTCTTCTCCGTCAAGCAGCTGGGCTACGAGGAGGCGAAACAGGCTGCCATATCCCACAAGCGTGCCATGGAGCTGAGGCACCACACATCAGAGGGCGAGGCTATGAGGGATGACGACGGGGATGATACGCCAGATCGGCAGGGTCCTTCACCCGATCAGCGTCCTGGTCGCCGCAGCATCAACGTGGCCACGCCATCTGATGCGTCACAATGGCGGCACTCTTCATCGTTACTGTCGTCTGGTGCTGACGGAGGTGATCTCGGTCCCGACCCGCGTCGTCCCCCTCGCCCCCGCCGCAAGCGGCTCGGCGTTGACCCCAAGCGGCCGCGCGACAGGCGGGATCTGACTGGGCTGGGAGGTGAGGAGCTTGCCAGGGCCATGCTCGAGCGACTGATCCAGGAGCAGTCGAGTGACTTCTGCCCGCAAGGGAATGGAGGGTCAGCTAAGCACACCACCAGATGGGGCGAGGAGCGACGCGCATTTCTCCTTTCCTTCATAGGATCGGGATTAGCCTGCACAAGAAGGGCAAGGACAGGTACTACTACATCGCCTACTTCTCCGGCGGCCATTGCACACATCTCGACCGTCAATCCTTCGCCATCAGTGACATCACCTCCCTTGACAGCATCCTTGAGGCTCTGCGCCAAGCCGCCGAGTACCGTAACGCAGTGCACCAGTCACGTCTGGGTGACCAGGCCACGGCCATCGACCTCTCATGGCTCGATCGACAGCAGGGGGGCGGCCGGGAGGGGCCTGAGGGCTCGGTGCGTGACGAGTCGGACGACCGCAGCCCACCCCAGAAGCATCGCCGCAGAGACCCATCCGCCACCAGCAGCCCATCGGCCATCGAGAGGCCATTGAAGCATAGGGGCAGCAACGCGGCCAATGCCAAGGGCAAGATCGTCGGCCGCAAGCCTGCCGAGCATCAGTCTGATGTGAGGGGCGTCTACTGGAATCGGCTTAATAAATGCTGGATTGCATCTTGGTATGAGGCGGGCGGCGACTCCAAGCAGCAGCAGAGGAAGTCCTTCTCCGTCACAAATCGCGGGTTCGACAAAGCAAAGGTACAGAAGGCAAGAAGGAGGAACAGTCCCTTCATCCGCTGCTCTTTGCTTCTGGCTCTATCAGGCGTTGGCCGAGCAGCACCGTCGTGAGATGGAGCGCAGCGGGTGGGCAGTGGTCAAGAACAGACCCAATGCTGACCGCCATGACACCAGCCCACCGCGGCATCCCAGCCGACTCGACCGCAATCTCATGCCTGACATCGAGACCTCCAGTCGGCTGCAGCAGGACCCTCAAGCCACGCTGCCGACGCAGCGCACGGCCGTACAGCTGCATGACGGAGGTGTGCGTGGCAGGCGGCCTGCCACTCCCAATGCCCGGCATGCCAAGCAGCCGCGGCCCCGAAGGGACAATCGCCTTGACCGCAATCCTTCGCCTGACATCGAGGCTCCCATTTGGCTACGGAATGACCCCCCGGCTACGCCGATCCATCGTACGCCCAATCGTGGCCCTCGTGTGACGCCGGTGCAGCAGGGGGACCTCATTCGCCACTTCTACCAGCAGCTGGAGGCACTCGGCAGAGCCCACCCCGATACCCCCCTCTGTCTGCAGTTCAGGAGTGGGTCTGCGCTGACCCAGCTGGCCGTCGAGGTGGTCCTGCCCGGGACGCCAGTGCAGTCGGTGCCCCTCTCAGCGGCCACCAGGGACGCCATGGGGGCGGCCATCGATGCGGCATGGGCATGCCGCCAGCAGGAGATAGACTCCGACGGCACTCAGGATCAGCAGCCCATGACACACGCCCAGCGGATGGCCCTCTGCCGTCTGTATGGTCAAGTGGGTGACAATATTGGGGCGATGTTGGCTGCCGTCCCCTCTCTGAGCTTTGCATCCGTCGAGTCGTTTGTGCGGCATGAGCTGCCGGCCATGGTGGGGCAGCGTGACGGCGAGGACATCAGGGAGGCCGCCAACCGATTCATTCATCAGCTCGGCCAGCAGCACACCACACCACCCACGCCCAAGCGACTCAAGGCGGCAGACGACGAGCAGCTACCTGCTGGCGACGAGCCAGCCCACATCAATGTCACGATGCCACCGCCCCGTCCACCAGTCAATGACCCACACGCACCTGATGCCGGAGATCGGACCACGGCCAATCGCACGGTGGATGGCGAGGGGCGGGGTGGTGCCCGTGGCGACGGCAATGGCGAGGGGGAGGTGATTCCGTTCGATGAGTTGACGAAGGCTCAGCTGGTGGAGCTGCTCAAGGCCGACGCATCACCCGACATGCGACACGTAGCCGACAGAATCATGGTCAGCAACGAGCAACACACATGTGTGAAGTCGGGATGAGAGTGTGTGTTGTCATGTCGGTGTGTGCAGTCGCTTGACATCGGGTCGGCAGTGAGTTTGTTGGACATGTTGGACGACATCGACAGTGTGGCGGCGTGTGAGGACATCGGCCGCGACCTCGGCCTGCCAAAGGGCATTGCACTCGTCATCATATCGCAGCTGCGGCGCTTCCTGCGGTCACTCAAGCGGCGGGGGGCCGTCCGGTGGCCCCGTGGGGATGGTGGGAGGGGTCGTGAGGGAGGCGTGGCTGCGAGTCAGTCGTGGGACTCAGGTCGTCTGGTGTCGGCCATCGAGCATGAGATGGGCATGATGGCGGCCGACAAGAAGGAGCGGCACGGCAACAAACTACAACACGTCATCGACAAAATCAAAGAGGTGACTAAACACGCAACATCTGCCACACGGCACATGAGTTTCGTCCGTGTCTGTGTGTGTCGTGTGCAGTTTGGGATATCCGGCGTGAGCATGTCACTGCTGGTGGAGCCGCCCCAGGACAGCGATGGGTCTGATGAGGGGAAAGTGGAGGCGGCACTGATTGATGCGGCAAGGGAGGCCATCTTTATGGGCATATCTGAGATGGCCTTCGTCAAGTCGTTCATCCGCCGGGCCATCAGCCGGCAGGGCGAATGACACACAGCCAGCAACTTTATGTACTGTACAGCGACAGATCGGTGTCCATACGCACATCGCACTGTCTATTTATCTTTATTTCTGTGGTGAGCGTGTCCACACACGCCTCATGGGATCGTATCGGCCATTAGTCAGGAGTGAGACAGACAGACAGACAGACACCTCTGTGTAGCGATATGAATGTTTTTAGGGCTGTCGGCGGGGGTGAAGGCCATGCTGCTTAGCTTTGCTGGAGTGCGGTGAGATGGGGCGCTGCTAATTCTTTGATATACACTCCCGATGGAGCGTCTGTGGCCGTACTCGTGTGTAGGGTTGTCTGTACAGAAAGGGCCGTGTGCGACAGACTCTGATTGATGCATCTCAGTGAGACGTGACGGACGGGCAGTCTCGTGTGCGCGATAGGTAATCAAGACGACAGACAGAGATGTTTTCGTTACATTTGATGGACACACATGGATGCAGTCAGTCCAAGCAGGAGTCACAGCAGCACGGATGGTCACCACCTCTGCACTGTCTGGCTGTCTGCACAGGCCGGGCCATCCATCCCCTCCACAGAGACATAGCAGTTCCCTCAACCAACCAATAATCATGAGTATGCACACGCACCCCCGCCGCCCGTCCCATGTGATGTGTGTGATATGCTCCATCCATCCCCATCCCCATCCTCCCCCCTCTCAAACGGTTTGTCTGCCCCTCCCCCCCTCTTTCCCTCCCCTCCTGGATCTGCGGCTGGCTGCCTGGCTGCTGGATCGATGAGCTGCACCGCCTCACCGCCACCAGCAGCTGCTAATCTGACACACGTGCACGCACACATTAAGAGTCAACACATTTTTGCCGCAGTCCTCATGTGCCCCACAATCACCCGCTTACCGACCTGTGCCGTTGTCATTATCGTCGATCGTCATTCATCCGCCGCCTCACATGGTAGAAGCCCTTCGCCCAACGAAAAAGTCGACGCCTTCCTCTCGGTATACACAATATGACATTCATGCCTCTTCATCGTCCTCATCTGGGCAGGAATGGATTGACAGCAGCAGACCAGAAGAACCCAATGTGTGTGTGATGCACTCGTGTGTGTATGTGCGCGTGTGTGAGTGTGCCTGGGTACACACCGAAGTTGTGATACAAGGCGTCGTCCCACCGCTGGAGCGGCAGTCGTGTGTCATCTCGATGAAGCAGCTCCATAATGGAGTCCACTATCGCCTGCGACTCATCCTTCAGTTCGAGTGTCTTGACGTGCACCAGTTCGCCGGCCTTGTCGTACGTCTTGTTGTCGTACTTGTAGAAGTGCCAGCGATCGAAGTTGTCCACTGCGCAGCCGTGTCTCAAGGCCTGCTCACACACATAAACACACACACACACATAGAGGAAGAACGCGTCGTCTGTCACCCCTCTGGCGTGGCGCCACCAACCTGCTTCTCGAGGCGCAACCTGAGGGCCTCCTCCGGCTTCACGTCCGAGTCATCGCCGACCAGCACCCACAGCTTCCTCGGGTATTCGGCTATCAGTCGGCCGTCCTTGTCCTTCTCAATCAGGAAGGACACTGAGTCGGCGTCATTGTCTTGGTCATATGGCTTGGCCCGGACACGGCAGTCGGTCTGGAGCTGCACCTGCATGAGCGGCGGCCACACATAGTATAACACCGTCAGCTGATTCTGCTGCTTCAAGTCTGAGTCCAAGTAGCTGCACACACAACACAGAGAAACCAAGCAGGAGGCGCAAAGAAAAGACCATGGTGCTGCCGCGCGTTGTGCAGTTGGTTGGTTGGTTATTGTGTTTAACGAGACTCGTGTCTGTAACCCCGAGGGGATCCTGTCCAGGTCACGCACTAAACTAGCAGCATGCACATGCACAGAAGCATGCACACGGCCTGTCTCCCCATCCCACCCACCCACCCACTCGACACGCACGTGCCACCCTATGATGGTCAGAAAGATCGCTGTCGACACCGGTTGCGATATACGAGAATGACAGCCAGACATAGGCACGACACCCACAGGCTAGTCAGAGAGCTCGACGTCGAGCGCCCACTGATCTAAGACATGCTGTTCGTACAGCAGCGAGGGAAGAGATAATTGACAGATGGCATCCATGCACTCGCTTGTCCAAATCGCCTCCATGAATCTATCCAGATATGTCTATGCACAAAGGGCACGCTCACTCATCCGATGAGAACACCCCAGCCCCGTCCAGGCTAGCAGCCCGCACCAATGCAACAGACAAACGAGCACGCAGCCACCCATGCACCCGCCCTCGCCCCCTATCTGACCACCCCTGCCTCGTCAACAGCTGCTCAGTCAAGCGGGTGAAGAAGTGCTCCGCCTCCCTCCCCCACACCCCATCGACGGTGACGACCAGAGGGGTGAAGGTCATGGACAGGTCCTCGCAGACGCGCACATGCTTGTTCTTCTTTCTGCGCTCGTGCGTCGCCAGGATGGATCGCGTGGGGCGGTTGCCGTAAGAGGGAGCATCAGCGTTAGTAACGCACACGTCGAACGATGCATCCCTCTGGCGGTCCCACACACCTCGAATCACCAGGTCCGTCCTGACCCCCTCCCTCCCCTGCCCATCCCCCTCCTTCAACACCACCTCCTTGTGGACGCTCCCTGCCCCAAAGGCCATCCTGCCGACGTCGCCGATCACGTCCCGCAGCTCGTTGTGCCGCTGTATCATCAGCCCGCCCTTCGCGCAGTCCAGGGCAGGGTGAGGGTGAAGGCGGAACCACACCCTGGGCAGCTGGAGGGGAGGTTGGGTGGGCGGTACCCGTAGCGAACCGCCAGGCCGTCCCGAAAAGCATCGCCGCTGAGGTCGGTCTGATCGCTGCACGACGGCATGGCCGTGAGCCACGCGTGCATCTTGGCCTCCTGCGCGCGCCGAGCAGCTCGTTGGCGTCCTGGGGGAAGGCGGGCGATACCGTCGTCGAAGCGCTCCTTGGCCTGTGCGTACGCCCGCCTCTTCCCCTCGTGAATGGCCGTGTGCATCTGAAGGCGGTGGATGGACGGGTCGAAGGGCTGGTCTGGGTGGGTGC